TATTGAAATATCTATGTAGTCAGAAATATACCAGTGTATAACAAGCTCAAACAAAGCTTTTTTCTACTAACAATTGTAGCAGAAGTACCAATAAAGAACTGCTTACAGAAATCGCTCAATTAGCGTCTTGCAATATGAAGGCAATGAGGTTAAAATGGTTGTAAGAGGTTAAAAGGACATGTATCTCAGAGCAACTCTACAGGAAATAGTAGACACAAACTGAGCTTACCTCTTATCTTTCAAAGCTATTGAAATACCGAAAAATCTCAAGAAATTTCATATTTTTTTTTAAATCATTTAAAAATATGATTTCATAACAACAATTTGTAACCATTAAATGACAATATTTTGTCATAACTGATGTTTTTATATATCAATATGTTGCCATCATAAGAAATGGCCCACTGGATTTAGTGGAGCCCTCAATGTGTTCCGCCATCCCAAATGTTTGGATAACTCTGGGTTAAACTATTCTACCTGTAGCAGCACCACTATCTCCGCACCATTGATATATACAAATTTTGTACGGTACGCCGCATATTACACAACTTTCACTTATCACCCACTTTTTTAGCAGAAATAGGTATTTTCAGACAAAGCAAAGTGAAAGTAAATATTATAAATGGTAGACTCTATCTACGATAAGTTTGAGGGTGGGTAGAAGGGTAGTGAGATGCGCAGTGGCAAAACATTTTCTCACCTCTCCCCCAATCTTTTGTCTTCTCTACTCAATCATACGTACCTATAAATTTTTGTTTACAAGTAGAAATTTTTCATCATTTTTTTTTTCATTTCTGTTCCTATTTTCTACATTGATTCTCAGAAAGATTGGCTGTTTACATACTGCGATTCATTTGATTTGAGCTAATACAGTATAGTCTAAAATAATACATAACGTGGACTATTCTCTTTGTTTATATTCCGAAGTAAATGAAAAAGGCTCCTTCCTAATATTGAATATCCGATAACGTAGTATTCTTTTCTGTTCTATAGTTTCCATCTATTTCTTGATTTTTTTGTGATCTATTTTTTGGTAAGTTTAGATCTATAGATCCTAGTAATAACATCGAATTCTGTGAACAGTAGATCTCGCGAATTCATATATATTTTTTTCTCAATTTGATTATTTAACCATCCTTTTCATTGTTTTATTTTATTTTTTAGAAAAATCCCAACCTTTAATAATCCTCTCCACTCCATAATCTTTTTACCCTTATTATTTTTCTTGTAGAAATTGTTCCAAAGGAAATTCTTTAATCAAATCATGATTAATACCTGTTTATATATAAAACATGTACACATATGCATACACATTTTCAGCTCAGTGCCTGTATATTCAGTTAAAGAATCAATCATTTCGTGCATGGCATTCAACTTTTAATAATGCATCGTTCTTTTTTATTTAAACTAATTACTATTTGCTGCTTAATCGCTAAAAATATGCTGTAAAACTAAACCTACAACCAAAAAAAAAAAAAAAAACTATAAAATAATGATTCTATTTATCTATTTAATATTATTATATAATTTAAATTTATTTTTGTCGATGATTGTTCCCTTCATCCTTTTTTTCTATCTTTTACTCTTGTATAATATGATACAAAAGTGATAAATCATCAATCATAATTAATTTTTTATTTTGATAGTGTACTTGAGGTCAAAATTATTTTTTACAATGATATTTTGGTTCATAATTGAATACTTTATTTGCAGTTGTACTTTGTGAATTTACAGTTTTCATTCAACAGTAAAGATTAGGTTATAATAATGAAAATACAAAAAGTTCTGAATTTTTCTGATGCATATTTGCAAAGATAATTAATATTTAAAGAACTTTAGTATGGGCGGAGCTACATCATTAGAGTGGAGACACGGCTACGCCATGACCTGCCAGCGCCTACCTCATTCTCTTGATTATATTATACATTTTAGATTAGAATAGAGTTTCCAGTTTCAAAACTTCCGTCCAGGAAGTATCTTTCCATTTCTTCTCTCTCTGTCATCTATCAACAAAAATATTCAGTTTAAAATGTATTTTATTAGTTTAGAACTGTTTGTGAGTGTCATGTTGGGCAGCAATACCTCCCAGACACACTTGTTATTTATAGTTTTTGTCTAAATATGAACATTTATTTTATTATTTGGAGTAGGTATAATTGATAGATCCGAATAACTTTGAGCCTGACAAATCAGCAAGTCTTCTTCAGTTTGCTAATGTTACTAAAGTAATATTTTGAAGTAAAAGGTGGACAGTTAGGTCTGATTAGATCGTATTGCGTTATATCATTAAAATTCCTAGCTACTTTTAAAATTAATAAACAATTTCCTTTCGTATACTTTATTTTTCTCAATGATTAGGACGGGAATAGAAAGAGGGTTAAAGGCGAGTTCTTAGTTTAGTTAGATCATTGTTAATTTTAAATATTATATATTTTAAAAATGTAGCTTCAGAAATATAATATGTGTTTAGATTCATTGAACTTATCACTTTTGAATTATAGTACATGTTTATTTAAAACTAGTCAGTGAAATTTTGTAGCAGTTATTTTTCTTAGAACCCCTAATTATTGTAGTATTATTCTGGTTTGGAATTTTTTTCCTTGTTGCTTATGAAGAATAAAAATAAATGGCGATACCGCCTCCTCTATATTTTGTTTAAACATTTTATTTTAACAATATATGAGGAGGTTAAAATGATAGTGGAATACGTAAGTCAATTTTGCTTTTTGTCTAGAAAGTGAATATAATGTAAATTTACTTTAATGGTAATGATATATGTATGTTATACATATATTATTAAAGTACATACTTTGTTCTTAAATAATAAATGTAAAAAAAAAAAAATTCTGTACCCCTACAACCCATGAAGGGTTTTGTGTTCAATACTTTGTTAAGAAGTAGTGTTTCAAGGCCACATTTAACCATCAGATTTTCCCTCTCAATCAATTAATTAGTTAAGGAGTACTTATAGAGGCTAAGTGTGCCCATGGAGAGTCTCCCGACCCCAGGGTCAATCAATGGCTGATGCAACAGAATAAATAACTATCTTACCAGAACTGGACTTGAACCTGGTTCCTTAAGAATAGAAGCAAAATGTCTTACTTACTATTGTTATATGCTTTTCCCTTTATTTTGTGGTGATTTTCCAAACTGAAGAAGTACATCTGGGATTACGGGATTATATCATTAAAGTAAATTTACATTGAAGAGAAGGATGGTTGGTATGATCAGTCAAAATAAAAAATAAATAATTATATTTACTTTTATATTTGCCGACGTTCGGCCCGAAGTTCATGCCTTCATCAGGGCTAAGAAAAGAACCAGATAACAAATAGGTATGAGAAACTATAAACATTGAATAATAAAGAATCAAAATTAAAAAGGTGAAAGGTATAGACTTAAAAATTTAGGTAGAAAAAACTCAAAGTGAAATAGATAGAGTGAACATTAAAGTAGGTAGAATAATAATAATAACGGCAACAAAGTATGCAATAATGAAATAAACATAATCAAAATAAGGTAACATAAGAAAAGAAAAATGGTAATCTTAGAATAAAATGTAAAACAGAGAAAAGGAATAGGAAGTTATATAAGGAAATAGTAGATATACATATAAAACTGAGATATTGTAAAATCTATCAAAATATACTGACTACTTATGAGATAATAAAAAGTTAAAATAATGTAAAAAAGATGTATGAACAAATGTATCAATATATGCAAAAATAGAGATGGAAATATGGGAAATAGAGTGGTGGGAAGGAGGAAAAAAAGGAGAAAACTACGATAAGAAAGATAAACAGACCTGTTCATCCGAAAAGCGTGGAAAGAAAAGTATTATAGGAGGACAGCTACATAGCGCCATCTGCAACGGTTAACTGAAATATGTGTACTAAAGCACAGGAACGTATAGATTTATTATAGATAAATATACGTAGTCAGCATATTTCGATAGATCTTACAATATCTCAATTTTCTATTTATATCTATTATTTCCTTATATAACTTTATATTCCTTTTATCTGTTTTACATTTTATTCTAAGATTACCATTTTTAGTTCTTATGTTACCTTATTTTGATTATGTTTATTTCATTATTGCATACTTTGTTGCCGTTATTATTGTTTATTTCTTAGTTCTCTGTTATTGTTATTATTCTACTTACTTTACTTTATTTTAATGTTCACTCTTTCTACTTTATTTTACTTTAAGTTTTTCGACCTACAGTTTTTAGTATATAGCTTTCACCTTTTTTAATTTTAATTCTTTATTATTCAATGTTTGTAGTTTCTCATATCTATTGTTATTTGGTTCTTTTCTCAGCCCTGATGAAGGCCTGAACTTCAGGCCAAAACGTCAGCAAATGTAACAATAAATATTATTATTTATTTTTGCTATTTTTATTTTGACTGATCACTCCAACCGTCCTCCTCTTCAATTATTCACTACAGTCAACCATCAACCCACAATTATAAATTTACATCACATTCATCTTCTGGAAAACATCAAAATTGACTTTACTATCATTCTAACTTAAAGTTTGATTATAAATTAGTTACTAAAAATAAAAAAATTATTATATTTAATACTTTACTTTCTGTTCTCATGTTTCTCTTTTTATATCTGAGTTAGAAAAACAACTGTCATGTTGTTTAATGTTATGCATCCAGATTTTGTTAAAATTTGGATTTGAATTTGAAACATACTCAGCAGTATTTTTATAATTATTTATGTAATGTTTGTCATAATAAATTAAAATTAAAAATATATTTTTATCTGTACATTAAATATATATATTTAATAATTTATTATTTAAATTGAAAAAAAATTATATGGTGAGGCTTATTTGAACCATTTATTTTTGATTAGTGAAACCCTTTTTTATTAAGTAATTAGTTCCTTCTTTTATAATGTACATATAATTGTTTTGTGTAAGATCTCTATTTTTTTTTAATGTAAATTTATTTTATTTTATAATTCCGTTTTGTTAATTTCTTCAGGTTTACTCGCTGTACCTAGCTTTAGTACTCTTCAATCTCTTAGAAAGTCAATTATAGAAAATGGTAATACTTGCCCGCTTACTCAAAAACATTTGGTACAACTGGATTGGGTTTCGAAAGAAGACGGCTCTCATATACTTACTGTCGGAGTCGGAAGCAAGGTTTATATGATTTTAATTTAAAATACTTTAAAATTATTTTTTTTTCTTTTATGTTGAATTAAAATATATGTTTATTTTTCAGGTAATGCTGTTTACACCTGTATCGAGCGACATCGCCCAAGCTAATATGAAAGCGATGAAAGAATCGCAGACAACTAACAGTCGTCCTATTTTACGAAAAGCTTCTTCACTTGCTGCTCCAAATTTTATTGATGAAATCAGGTATTTTAATTAAATATTTCAATATTATTTTACTAATATTTTTCAAATAATAATGGTATTTAATTGAAAAATTATTGATTTAAATTTTGTTATTTACCTTCAGAGAATTTATAATCTTGCTTATTTTTATTTTAAAAAACTAAGTGCTATTATCTTCTTTTTTTTTATCTTTGAATATATCTTTAACTTACCATGATGGACTATCAGTGATATTTTTATTTTAAAAAATCTAAACGATATGTGATAGTTGGAAAACAATAGACCAATATAGGCACAAGTTGAGAAGACTAATTCATTTCGGGCAATGATCTATAAGTTCGGTAAAGCTAACAGATAAAAAAAAGGTTTTTGTTGTAGTGAGAGGTTCTTAAAAATTTATGGATATATGAAGAAATGTTTAAAGCTTAAACTTTTTTTTCAGTAATTTATAATCAGATCCTGAATTTGTATGCAGTAAAAACTCCCAAAATATGCCGTATAATATGCAATAAAAAACTGTCAAATATGCAGTAATAAAACATATAGTGGAAAAATCTCTAAACATGCAATAAAACGTCTAAAATATTTAATTACATTACTGGGCCTACAAAACGTTTTGGTCTAAAATAAAACATAATCATTATAATAATACAAAAATACAGAATTGTGGGCTAAGGAACTCGGAGATATATAAACAATAATCAAAAAGTAAATAAACAGTCATAATAAAAAAGTATCAATTACTTTCTGACTTTAATCAATTAAAATTAAAAGTAAAAATAATTAATAATGATCTAATAATTTACATAAATATTTACAGTAATATCTATCTGCTTTAATTTTATGAGGACTGGATGAATAAAAAATTATTAAACAGGTGGAATTTAAAGATAGGGAGGTTATTGGAGCGACGGATGTAGAAAGGGATGGAGTTCCACAGGATTAATCGGATAATGAACGATCTGTCGAAAGCAGCGGTTCGGTGGGTCGTAGTCTATAGATCTAAAGACCTAGAGCAGGTACTGTGGAAATGAATTGAGGCTTTGATTTGAAGGAGGAGGAAACGTATGAAGGACAGCGAGATCGGATGACTTAGAAGAGGAAGGATGCCAGAAAATACTTACGGCGGTAGGAAAGATAAAGCCACTTCAGCTCTTCATAATAACGAGAAACAGAGGCATCCCTTGGGATCCCAAGGAGGATTGTAAATTAAATAACATTGTTTCATTTTTTTATAAGCTAAAATAATTAAAGCATATTGCGATAAATAAAAAGATAATATGAAATAAAGGAAGGAGATGGTCTGGGGTGGCGGTCATAAAAAGGCTAAATAGTGGCAAAACTATTTTATTAAAAGCCAACGTTTCGACCCTGAATTCTAAGTGAAACTCCTAGCTGAACGCACCTCCCTGAAGAAGACCTGCAAAGTCGAGTTGAAACGTTGGCATTTAATAGAATAGTTTTACAACTATTTACCCTTTTTATGATCGCCACCCCGGACCATCTCCTTCCTTTATTTCATATTATCTTTTTATTTATCGTAATATGTTTTAATTATTTTAGCTTATAAAAAAATGAAACAATGTTATTTACTTTCTTTATAATACAATGGTCAACTATTAAATATTCAATAATATGAAATACTTCTTAAGGACTAAAATATTTAAGTATCACGAAGTTCCAATTAGCATCAAATAAAAACAACTATAGGTAATTGTTGGCAAAAACTGCTAGTAGTAATGATAATAAAAATTTTAAATATTTTAAATAAATATTTAAAAACTAGTTATAAAAAAAATGGAAAATAATATGAAAATACCTAAAACATAATTAATAATCCTATTTATTATTTCTAAAAGGTGCTTTTTATCATTACGCCATAAACTCTTCAATTCTTCATCAAATCCAATGATTGACCACTCATTTTGCAGATATTCTTCTCCTTCACATGCGAAAAATAGTTCTATCCCTCCAAAATTTATAGGGAAAAACTTATGAAGGAAAAGAAACTTTATTTGCAAATAACTAAAAAGTATCCATTTTTTTTCTTGTACCCATGATAATTAGAAAGATAACTAAATTATGCACAAAACAAATAAAAATCGGACAATTATTAACAAAGATACAGTCTATTAGTTTTGGTATACTTAATAATTTCTTCCTCTTTAATGATATTGCATTAGGAGTAGAATAGTTTACTACATTTTTTTCGTGGCTGATATGTTAACTTTATTATTTCTTAAAGGCATTTGTTAGTTCTTACATTTTATTTTTTTTTTATGATTTAGGAAATCCCATGATCGGGGCATTATTTTGTTTTTATTATCTTTCCAATCAGCATTTAAAAATTGGCCGCTTCCAAAGCGATTTGTACAAATATTTTGGTCTATTATGTTTAATGGAATATTGGAATCGACCAAGGAAAAAATTAATTCCTTCCTTACATAATACATAGGAACAACTTCTTTCCATATTGTTTTGCTATGTCTTCTCTAAACAAAATGTTCTGCCAATTATTCGCATGGGCCAACTAGTAGTAATCAAAAACATAATGGGTGATAATTATTAAATATTGCAATAATAATACAATTTACAAGTAATAATAAAAGAAAATCATTAATGTTTTTAACTAAAAAATTAATTGGCAACAAAAATAATATCAATAAAACACCAATGGATTAGAAATTAGTTAAAATGAATTTCTAGTTTTGTTTCTAAAAATCTAATCTTCTATCATTTGAAAAAAAATTTATAATAAGAAAATGTTCTTTCTACAACAGTCGTGATAGAAGCAAATTCGCACCCACTTAAAGTTATTGATATGTTTTCGATAGAAACTTGTTTTGAACTATAGACATAAAATCGAACCTTCCTATGAATTTTAAAAATGGTTTCATCTTTGGATTCATAAGTGTCGATCCAATATTTCAATTTTATAGAAAATTATACTCTTAAAATTACAAACAATATAACCGCTTGTAAAAAAAGTAATTAATTTAAAACTGAGGACTATGGTTTTTAGAATTTAAAAGAAATAAGAAGGGAGTAAATGAAAAAATCCATTATTTTAAAATTTAATAACTGTAGGTAGCGTATTTTGTTATTTGAGATTGAAAATCAACCTATAATTGTATTATCGAATTTCATCTTCAATGTTCCATTTTAATTCATTATTACTAATTATTATTGTAACTTTTAATTTTAAATAGTTTAAGTATGCAATTTAAAATTTCACTAATTGCATTTGGGTGCACTGATGCGTATAGATATTTGATTAGCTGTATAAAAACTGCCTGTGAACAAAATATCCAATTGCATAAAAATCCAGGCCTTGCTCATCATATATAGTTAAGATTCAAAATTTTTGAGGTGTTTTCAAAAGGTTGTTAATGCATAACAATTTTTTAAAAACTATTTTTCTGTTTGTTCTCTGAAATAACATTATTTCCTTGAAAATACTGTCCATAACATACTAATCAATTTCTTTTATGAACTTACTTGATCGTCTTAAGATGGATGAAACTCCGGAAGATCGACCTAAGGACTGCTGATGGTCTTCCCCCACTTCCAATGCAAATTTCATGGGTTCGAGATGGAATACTCGTTGTAGGAATGGACTCAGAAATGCATGTATATTCACAATGGAAACCAGATGCTTGTAAGATAATTTTCTATCTTGCTGGAATATTTAAAAATTATGATTATTTTAATATTATTTCTCTTGTTTTATTATGATAGTTCGTGCAAAGAGTGGTTACTCTAGTGGTTATGGCAAACTTCCCCATCAGGAGAGTGAAGAATTGCAGGATACTCGCAACTTACGAGATGAAGATCTTCGCAGTCTGGTCCAGGTAAGGTTGGGCAAATTTGATTCAAATGACAAATAAATAACAATGAATCAAATAATAAAAAAAATAAACTGTATAATATTACTTTATTCATTTGTCAATAAAGAATATATACTAAATAAAAATTTATTCAATGAAACATTTTCAAGAAAACTATTCACTGAATACTCATTTATTTATGGGATAATCATCCCATAAAATTATATATTTTTTCTTAGTGGTTTGGAAATTGTATTTAAAGTTTAAAAATAAACTTTTCACGATTCTTCAAAATGGGTGTCCATTTTTGTATACTTGGATAGGATATTTATGAAAACACAATCGGTTTTAAGATTCTTCATTATTATGTTTTTGAAGATGTTTGCTATAAAAATACTATTAATTATAAGGTTATGCTATCATTTATTGAGTCTTTGTAACTTTTCAGGTGTCATTAATAATAGAGTCCATTATTATGTTATCAGTGGCACTTTTTATGAAAATATTTTCCATTTCTTATCAATTTCAATGAATTTTTTTTTTTTGTTCTTTTGGGTTTTTAGAAAACTTTTAATAGTCCTGGAGCCCGTGGCAAAAAAAGGTGTCATATTTTATACTAAGTTTTGTCCTTATAAGGCGAGTCAAATAATGATAAAAATGCGATGTAAAAATTTATTTTTTTAACATTAATGATTTACGGGGACGGATATCACAGAAACTATAGAATATAGTGAACAAAATAATACACTGACAGGCAAAAAATTCCACCCACTTGATTTTTTCCTGTTTTCATCTAAAAATATTTATGCTTTGGATTGGTCTATTGTTTTTAATGAATAAATAGGTAATCTTTTTGTTTGTTTTCAATTAGGAATAGTAATATAAAGGACAATAACCCTTAATCCTTAATTCAACGAAATGATTCTAGATTCCAATGTTTACTTTCTATGGAATCAAAATGTTTATTCAGTATCATTAGTTCAGTGCCGTTTCTTGCAGCACATTTCTTAGTCTCCGGCTTTTAATTTTTTCAATATTAAGTTTAAATAAAAATGCCTCTTAGTGCTGAGGATGTTGTGCGTGGTGTGGCACTTATTGATGATGGACGTTCCATTAGATATGCAGCTAATGCATGTAAATACAATAACAAACTGTAAATACTTTAAATTAAAATTATTGGTAGCTTTATATATCTATAAGCCCTATATATATATATATATATATATATATATATATATATATATATATATACACTTACAATCTATGTAGGGTCTCTATCTATTTTCACATGGCCGCCATTTTGTATTCCAGTGGCTATAAGCTGGCAAACATAAATTTTTTTCATCAGTTCTGTGGATATGATCAATTTAGAAGGACAAAGCTTAGTATGAAATATTATGACCTTTTTTGTCACGGGCTCCCAGACTATAAGTAATCGATGGGTATAGTAAAACATAAATTGTATATATTTTTAGTTATGTGCAAATTAATAGTCCATGTTACAGGTCCCTTTTTATCAAATTATTAACACGCTCCTGAAACGTCAATAGCTTTATCTCATCGTAACCTACAAATATTTTATTTACAAAAATTCTCGGAATCGGGGCAAACTTTGTCTATTTAATTAGGTACTAAATACTCATAAATACCCATTTGCTTTCCACTTGAATCGTTAGATAACTCGAGCACAAAGTCGAGAAAAAATGTGGTCTTCAAAAATATTAAGCCGTTTGGCATGATCTACACCTCCAAATTGTCAATATAACGAGGTTATATAGATCAAATAGCCCAATATTTTTGTAGGCCACCTTTTTAATCGATTTTGTGATCAAATTATCTTACGATCGAACTGGAAAGCAAATGAGTATTTACGAGTTTTAAGTATCTAATTATATAGACCAAGTTTGCTGACCTCCAGATTGGAAATGCCCCAATTCCTAAAATTTTCATAAATAAAATATTTGTAGGTTACGATGAGATGAAGCTATTTACAGAGTTTCAGGCGGATGTTAATAATTTGATAAAAAGGGGTCTGTACCACAGTCTATAACTTTTATTTTCTTCATAACTTTTTTGTATGTGGCTATTTTTCCCACCTCTGTCGCTCAATTATTAGGTTTGATAAAGAATTAATGAAGATAAGGGCAAAGTAAAAATTAGGGCACAGTTAAATAGGTTTGCTATCAATAATTCATTTTAAGATTTGTTATTTTTAGTTTGGAGAAAGGAAGTTACTTAATTTCACAGTAAATGCTGTTGTATATTATTTTTTAATCGTAAGAGGTTCTTTATTTAATGGATATTGTAATATTACTAGCAAGTCGCAATAATCTTTTGTTTGATTTTTTACAAAATTCTTATTTCAAATTTATATGATGTATTGTTGATAATAACAACTCTTGGAGATTGTTATGAGCTGGCACTGAATATAAATATGTAAAGTGAGAAATAATAACTTTGAGGTTACATCCAGTAGAAAACAAAAATGGATGGAACCACGTAGCCATTGGTAATTCAGTCGCTGAATAAAGGAACGTGCTGACTTCTAGCAATTAGTTTAGGAATGGTTTCGTGGATTTACGATGCCATCGAAGAGTTTTATAGCTTTTCCAAAGTCTAATTATAGTTAGATACACAAGCTACGTAGTGTAGCAATCCAATGTATTTGGGTAGCACTGCTTGTAAAAGAAGTATTTCTTTCTTCTTAATTCTTTTGTTGTTTCAGGAATCTTCACAAAGGAGGTTGGCCAATGTGAGTTCTATGCCGCATCTTTCTAGGGTCAGCTCTATCAATCTGACACTTCTCTCGGTAGAAAATAAAAAGAAGAAATCGAATTCTTCATCGGGTTAGTTCAGAAATAAATATGTGATAATTAAAGTTTTTATATTAACAAATATTATAATTTTTTTTTTTTGGAAAATAGGTGGCCAAACCAACACCGATCAGAGCTTGGACTCTTATATGCCGGATTATGGTCTGTTTGAGGCGAGTAGAATCGCCTGCCCTGTTCTGCCTCAGTATCATCCGAAGCAGCTGATGGAATTGCTCAATTCCGGAAAAATCCGTTGGGTGAAGGCCATCTTAGCCCATCTTGTCAGGTATCATTCATTTTTCGTATATTAAAGAATTCATTATTTTGCTTTACAGACATTTTTTTATTATTATTACTGTTGAACCTCTATCTATTGTAAGATATTCTGTATATAGAATAAAATTTCTATATATTGATCGGAAACTTAAAGTAAAGAAAAAAAATATATTACAATTTTCAGGTGGTTTTGATAAAAATTTTGGAAAAATATTTGATATATCGATATTTTAAAAAATATATATTGATATTTTGGTCCAATATTATATATAATGATGTAGAGATGGTTGACTGTGATATGATATGAGAAGGAGTTGGTCGGGGGCGTGCTGTCAAATACATACTAAATTTTTACAATAGTATCTTATGGTTACGCTGACGTTTTGACCCACTTTTTAGGTTTTCATCAGGACTACAAAAGATACATGGTGAAAATAAAATAAATGAATTATATGTAGATATTAAATAAGAAACAGTTGTCTGATAAAGAAATAATAAGATGACATCAGAGATGTAGTGGGTGACAGTAAAGTTGAGATAATAAGTATTACATATATAAAATATACAAACAAAAATAGAAAATAAGTGTGAATAAAAATAGAAAAAAAGGTGAATATAGCGTGTAAGTCTAAAGTAAACAGATTGTGATAAAAGACAAGAAATGAGTGGATAACAAACTGGTAAAGGTTACATTTGATAACTGTAGGTTAACAGATAAGGAAAATGAGGGTTGTCGGATAAAGAAATTAAAAAACTAATAAGTAATGATCTAATAAAGCTAAAATAATAATAAGATAACTTAATAATAATATATTAGTGGATAACAAGTTGGTGGAGGTTACACTTGATAAATGTAGGTAAACAGATAACGAGACTAAAGGTTAACAAATAAAGAAGTTGAAAAACTAATAAGATAACATGAGTTGTAACATCCTTAGGATAGATTTATTAAATATATATAACTCAATAAGAAAAGAAAATAGAAGAGAAATTTAGAATATAAGTAGAAATGTAAAAAAGGTTATGATGATGAATAAAGGTACAGTGTTTATAAAGTATTTATTTGATTGCACCCCCCCCCCTACTAACTTCTTCTCACAATATTATTTATATTGATATTGAAATTTTTTGGAGAAGAAAATACTAGAAAGACATCAGGCAAACCGACAACCAAAGGACAGAAACAAATTATTTGAAATTTTTGCAACTTTCTCTCTTTGTCAACTGTTTATCCACACATAAACACAGCACAGCCCTTATCAATGAACCACTAATGCCTGCTTTTTTAACTGCCACCCACAATCTCTCTTGGAGATTAGCATAAGCCTACCACAGATCTATAAAAGCCATATGTAGTTCCTGCTTTCTCTCTTGGGACTTCTCTATGGGTTGGCAAAGAACAAATATGTTGTACGCACATGATCTGCCAGCTGTAAAACCCACTTGCTCCCGCTGTGTGATGTATGAGCAGCCTTGTAAGCAACTTATCCTTGAGCAGCCTTCCAATAATCCTTGTCACGGAACTTGCACGCAGATTCCTCGATAGTTCCTGCATATTTTTCGATCCCCCTCCTTGTATATTGAAGATATATACGCAGCCCTCGGGTCATCTGGAATATCCTCTTCTTTTAGAACAAGGTTGCACTATCAGCTTTCAGGAGCTCCATAGCAATTCCACCTGGTCCCGGAGATGTCCCAGTTTTCGCTTTTGCTAGCGCCTGCCGAACATCCTTTTTTAAAAATATATTTTTAATAATTATGTACGTAGTCTATGTATATTTTAGTTATTAATTTAGAGTAATAGTATGTCAATAATGTATGGCCAGAATTAATCTTTATTTTTCTGTTCACCATTGTTATTGTTAAGGAAATTTGTCACAGAATGATACTTTTTCTATTTCTATGTCCAATAGTCCTAATGTCCTGCATATTCCTGTGTGTTGGGAGTGGGCTAATGCGTGTGCACAGCACTGCCGTTAATAAACATATACTAATTAAATAATTACAAGTTCGCGTTCCTGTGCTGGAGGGGCATTTAATTCTGGCATTAATCTCCCGCATTCTCCTCCTCCCTGGAAAAACTCGTGTATAGCTGAGGGTCTATAATGGTATACCTAAGGCGAGGAAGGGGTGGAAAAAATTAAATATATATTCCTATGTGGTTTTGCTGTATTATTATGATTTACCAAGTAGACTGTCCTAGCCAAAGATTTTGGATTCATGTGTCTTAGATCAAATGTTTATCATTTTTTTTTTGTTATCAATTTAAAAGCTGAATGATTTGAGAAATTATATTAACTTTTGTTAAGCTGTAAACATTTGTATTAGGTGTATATCGGGGACTTGCAGTGTACAACAAGGTCAAGTTGTTTGTTCAATGTCTGACGAAGAAAATCTCACTAAACAAAGAGGTTGGTCTCGGTCGAGAACGCTTTCCGTCAGCTATGGTGCAGGTTAGTGAACAAAAGCCTTAATTTCTTCTTTATTTTCTAGATAGTTGTTTTACTTTTAATATTTTAATTTATTTTTATTGTAGGAACTACTAGCCCCATGGAACAACGCGGCTCTACTACAGCTATACCTGAGGAATTGACGCTTGATTATGCTGAAATTACGTCCATTCCTCCTCTGCCTCTTTGGACCTTGTTGGCCGCTGACAAAGAGACTTTGAAACCTCAAACATCTGAAGATAATCCAGTAAGATAATTCAATCATATTGTGTTTTTTCAATTCATTTACCATTTTGATTGGTTAATACCAGGTTTCTAAATTTGAAACCAAACTTTTTGTCAAGAAAATACATGTTCATACCATAAAAATGTTATAACATATTTTATTTAAAATATTATCCATCACTAGCAATTAATTTTTCTCAATTTACAAAATCCATGCCAGTAAAGCTGTTGCTCTTTTTTGGTGAACTATTAATCAATCTATTTGAGTGAATTTTCATTAGAAGTTAAGCACTGTTGAGAAAGTGTGAGCCCCATCAATGCGAATAAATAGTAGTCAAACAGAACCAAATTTAGTGGTTCTTTTTTATTTTTTTATTAAATGTTGGCTCAGGGCACGTCGATCCCTGAAGGATCTATTGTGTGCCAATTCAGTTATTCGTTTATTATCAAAATGTTATTTTTGCCCCTACTGTGTATCTTAGTAGGCTGCTCAGATTGACCGTCTCATATCTAGTGGGGAGATCCATTTGTTCCTCCCAAAATAGTTCCAGTCTCAGCCTTGCGAATCTATCACATCGACACACAATGTGAAAGGCTGTTTCGTTCTCCTTTTGACAGAATCTGCATAGCGGATTAGTCGTTGCTCAGAGATTGAACATATGGTAATTTAGCTTACAGTGGCCTTTATAGATCGCTGTAAGCTTTCTAAGAGCTGCTCTGCCCATACTCAGGAATAGTTTGCTTCTTTTTTCACATGGATCTTTAAGGGACAGCTTCGAATGTCGTTGTTTCTTCTCAGACCAGTATTTTAATAAATCTCCCTGATCCTACTTTTGGCAGTACTTAGGCTGATTCCACAAACAGGTTCAGGAGTTACGGAAATGGTATTTGAGCCCAATCTGGCTAGTTTATCAGCCTCTTCGTTTCCTAGTATGCCCGTATAAGGCTATTATAATTTAGTGGGTTAGCGGCTTATTAAATTTTTTTTTTCTGTTTTTCTCATACTCAGCCTTTTCCAATATTCAGGGAGAGGTGGAAGATTAGGATATTTATCTTATTGGTAACAAGCCTACACTAACCAGAGCGGGAGCATCTTATTGGTAACAAACCTATTCTAACCAGAGCGGGAAGGTTGAAATTCATTCCATGGTTTGCCACTAATTAAATTTAAACCGACCCTGACTGGGCCAGTGCTATAATCAACGTTGCTAAGAAGGCAGCTTAATACACTTGGCTGTTATAGTAAAATAGTGTCTCGTCACGAGGATTGAATTCCCTAGTTTATTTACATAAAAAGTTGACTACTTATTTTGGTGGTTTTAATGCCAAAACAAAAAAAAATAGAGGGATAGAAATAGTAATTACAACGATTTACTAGGTAGTCCCAACACTCATATTAAACTTTAATTTAGTTTATTTAACCTATGGAAGGTTTTGTATTTGATTAAAAAAAAAAAAAAAAAAAAACGTGTTCCAGTAACAATCCATAAAGGGTCTTGGGTTCAGTACAATGTGAGGAAGTAACAGTATTTCAAAGCCAACAGTTGTGCAGGGAGGTGACAAGCCAATAGCACGCTCAACCGCCAGATTTCCCCCTTAATTAAGAGTACTATTATAATAAGAGGGATAGAAAATAGTAAGAGGGATAGAAAAAAGAAATTTGATAATAACTTCGCTCGATGAACGTTTTTTTCGTATTGTTTTATCAGGCCTGGTCCGACTCCGTATGTGGCCTTTGACCAGAGTCTGATATGAGGCTCCCTTATCAGGTCTATTATATAGGATATTGCTGTACACACACACACACACACACACACACACACACACACATACACACACACTCTATAAGTATATAAAAGTGGTTTTCAGAGATTTTAAATATATAGTGTAAATTTACTTAATGATTTTTGTGGTCAAACATACCACGGTACTAAATAAATACAAAATAATCATACTCCCCTTTCATTCTATGATAAAAAAAATACAAAACATTTATGTTGAAGGTCCATCGGAGAGATCTCACAAAGTTGTGGAAATAAACGAATACAAAACAATTATTTTTGGACTACTACAGACTATTATTTTATGACCGAAACATATAACGATACTAGATAAATTCAAAGTAACGATATTCGGGTCTGTAAGAGAGGGCCTCCAATCATTTTATGGCAATAAAAAAGGAAGAACGTATATATTGGGAGCCTCTTGGAGAAGCCTCTGAATATTAAATAAATGTATTTACAATTTATACATTTTTAATATTTGTGTCTCCAGACATATTGTTCATAGAAAAATATCATTGAATAGGGAAAAGTGAGGGAATTTTACTTTAATTATCTGGTATTCACTCTCTTAATATTAATTTTCAATAAAAATTGTATTCTTTGATTGCTAAATAATAACTGTTATTTTATTTAAAGTAACTGTTACTAAAAGTGACTGGCAGTACTTAAAAACTATCTCTTTTAAATCCCTTTCACTAAAAATGTCAATTTCTTCGTTTCGGCACTTAAGCTTTTCTGTTTTGACCCTTCCAGTTTTTTTCTCTATTCATCAACATCTTCATGACATGCTTTATGAAAGTGCTTTCACGATCTAGTGTCATTCATTTTTTCTCTATCTTTAATGGTGATTGATATAATGTCGATTTTAGAATATTAATCATTCAAATTCCTTTTTTTAAGTTCATTCTACAAAACAATAGATTTTTTATTTGATTTTAAACCTTAGGTTCTTCAGCACGAAACTTCTGATAATGCCATATTTAAACTAGAAGTTTCTACTTATTATTACAAGTATTATAATAAACATTAATATATTTTATTTTATTTAAAAAAAAAAAGAAGGATCAAATGAGGAGTTGCTTGAGGACATTTGACTACACATTTGTGTCTAGAATAAGCTAAAAATTCCTCTTCACCATTGCCTAAAATTGCCTAAGGTTTATGTTGATTCGGGATTTCTTCGATAGCATCCCCCCAAAAAAAACTTATATTTGACAGGACTAAGAAATACATTGACAGGCAAAAAATTCCACCCACTTGATTTTTTCATGTTTTCATCTAAAAATATTTCTGCTTTGGATTGGTCTATTGTTTTTAATGAATAAATAGGTAATCTTTTTGTTTGTTTTCAATTAGGAATGTTAATATAGAGGACAAGAACCAGTTTCCTGAAAATGCCTGATGGCGTCTCGTAAAGTTTCATATGGAACTCCGATGGCATTAGCTGCATATCTAATGGAACGTCCATCATCAATAAGTGCCACACCACGAGCAACATCCTCAGCACTAAGAGGCATTTTTAAACTTAATATTGAAAAAATTAAAAGCCGGAGACTAAGAAATGTGCTGCAAGAAACGGCACTGAACTAATGATACTGAATAAACATTTTGATTCCATAGAAAGTAAACATTGGAATCTAGAATCATTTCACTGAATTAAGGATTAAGGGTTATTGTCCTCTGTATTAACATTCCTAATTGAAAACAAACAAAAAGATTACCTATTTATTCATTAAAAACAATAGACCAATCCAAAGCAGAAATATTTTTAGATGAAAACATGAAAAAATCAAGTGGATGGAATTTTTTGCCTGTTAGTGTATATTGATAATATCTTCTGTTTTGCATTAACTAAGTTCGTAATAAGAAGCAATTTTTTTATATTTTTAGCATTATAATGAACTGTTCGAGACTGAAAATATTCTGGGAGAAGAACATTTAGATGATTTGCTGGTCGATGAAGATGAAGATGAATCACTTTGCCGAGCGGATAGAAGACCTTCTGGACCTGTAGATCTCGCCACTAGTCTCTCTCATTTCGGTCCAAGACAGGTTAGTTTTTTTTTTTTCTATAAATTACAAAATAAAGTTTCTTTAACATTAAATTTATTACTTTGTTGTTTTATTTATACATATTATTGTGATATTGTTTAAAAATGTTAATTGTATTAAAATTAAAATTGTAATTATTAATGAAATTTACTGGACGCTGAGGGCTTAATTGGTTCATGTACTGTGAATTCTAAGGATCAAATGAACAAAATCGATTCATTTAATATTATATTTAATAAACGAAACATCTCTGAACAAAAATAAAATTGAAATTATGTTCATGTAATCTATTACTATAAATATATGTATAAAATACTGTTCAGTTGGACTGTCTTTATGGTAGTTCCAAACGTATATTGCTCCATCAACTAAAGGTGGTCTACAGATAAATTTTAACCGATATACAGAATTTTGTTTTCTAAAAAAAAAAATTAAAAGTTCTTAGAAAAAGTTTGATATAAATAAATTTTCGATTTATAAAAGTTTGACTGTACTATAAAAGTATTTAAATTATTATCAACTATTACGATGATTTCCTGATGTCCTTCTCGCCCTCTGACCTATTAGTAGCCACAGAAAAACTTCAAGAAGACTTAGATAGGATTTGTGACTGGGCGAGAGCTAACAAGTTGAAGTTGAATGCTGAAAAAACAAAGGCAATCTTAATAGGCTCCATTCACCTCCTTAAAACTGTTCCTAATATTAAAACTCTGTTTCTACATGATAACACCATCAAATTTTATCCCTCCATCAAAAACCTTGGAATAACCATGCATCCAATATCTCCCGCCATACCATTTCCACCTTTGAATGTCTAAATTACTCCCGTCACTTATTTCCTCTTGAAACCCGTAGTCACTTCCTCAATTTTTCCCCACTTTGACTTTTGCTGCATGATATATGGAGGTACTGGGGATCTTGATGTAAAACTAAAACATTTGATAAATTGCTATGGAAGATTCATCTTCAGGATCGCTGTTTCCTGTTTCTATGAAGATTTGAAGTGGCTTTATCCTTCCTACCGCCGTAAATATTTCCTGACATCCTTCCTCTCCCAAGTCATTCACTCCCGCCGTCCTTCATACATCTCTGAGCTCCTTCAATTCAAGTCCTTTGTTCACTCCCACACTACGTTCCCGGTCTTTAGATTTATATATAATGGCCCACCGAATCGCTTCTTTCAATATTATCTTTAATTATTCGATCCTCATCCTTATGAAACTCCATCCCTCCCGACATCCGTCACTCCAATACTCTCCCTACTTTTAAATCCTGCCTATTCAATCACTTCCTTTTCATCCGATTCCTATAAAATTGTAAATTTCATCCGGTTCCTATAAAATTGTAAATAGAAACTTCTGTAAATATGTATATATATATTATTAGTTTATTTTCATTTCATTTAATTTTTTTTCTTCTTAATCGATTTAATTTAGAAGATAACTTTTTTTTTTTATTATATCTATTAGTTTACTTTGTAAATACATTTATATATGTCTGAGGCTCAAAAGCCCACATTTCTGTCCTTTATCAATTATGATTATAAAACATTTGAGGAAAACAAATGAATTAGCATATTTCCAACATTTTCTTAAAGAAAATAGTGCAGTATCATCTGTGTACTTTTTGAATTATTGGCAATAAAAGTGTGAATACATCTTTCCTTTTTTCAATAAAATATTTGATTCCACTTAGCTCATGTGGTGACAATTTGAGGCCAACATTTTTTTAATTTTTTGATTGCTATGAAAATTAGTATTGGAGGATTTTTTCAGATGAAAAATACAAATCTTATTTTGTTTTCTCCTTTAAAAAATATTTTAACCCCTTTTTTTTCACTCCCAGAAAGAAAGTTATTTTTCTATCTATCTATAATAATTAGAAATATTTCAATTTTTAAAAACCCAATCAATATTTCATAACTACACTATGGAAACCATGAGACCTAGGAGGCTTTCGATAGCAATTACAATTTATCTTGAAAACGGTAAATTTTAAGACTTTATAACCTAGAGCCTGATTCCTTCCAAAGTATTGACGTCCACCTTAAAATCTTTAAAGTCTGACTTATCCCTTCTGTCTATATTCGTCAACATACTATCCTCAGACTAATTGGTATAAATTATATTTTTAATCACTATTATTAAAGTTTTAATACAAATTTAAAAATTTAAATTGGAATTCATCATTTCTCCATGAAATTTCTTTTTGACACATCATTTTTTATATATAATATATACACCAGTTTATACTAAGTTTTAGGTTTATATATATACTAAACATTATTAATTTTAAAATATAAATTTGTTGTTTCAGGGTAGACTTTTGTCACGCCTTTTAACTCACACTCATCTTCCTGGATTATCATCATTAGATCAGATGCATCTTTTAGCTTTGGCAGATACTGTTTCTACGTGTAATACAGACTTTGCAGAAAGGTTTGCAATTGATGCTGCAAAGTCAGCTATTGCTAAAGAGAATTTGACTGGCCTGCCAGAAGGTGGTTTGACTACATCAGGTAAATTATAATTTTTGTGTTCATAAATTTGCCAGTAAAATATTTTATATTGATGTTATTAAGTTTATGTTATCTATTCTTTCAGACTCTCTAGATGACTGCGGTCTCAGATTTCTGCTCGCTATGAAACATTACAACTACCTTGTTCGTTGCTTGCCACTTTCTCAAAGAGCTCAATTCCAGAGGCAAGGAATGGCGAGTAATAACCTTGTTTGGGCTTTCCATTCAGAATCTGAGGAAGAACTTTTATCTCTTATACCTTCTTATACAAAAGGAAGTCCTCGTTGGGGTCGTCTGAAAGAATTAGGTGTAGGATGGTGGATTCGTAATCATACAACTCTTAAACAATGCATTGAAAAGGTAATTTTCTCATTAATAAAAATATATATTATTATTTTTGCTTTATTTGAATGCCTAATGCTTTATAAGATTTGTGTTCGGCACTTCAAGATGGTCTGACGTGTCCTATGTTTAGTGGTTCTTTCCTACCTGCAGACATATTACCTCGAATTTCACCTACATCAAACGGTGATTCTCAATCTACAGGCCATTTTCAGTTCCCAATCAGAATCATGGACAACCAGTCATATTTTCTAAAGTTTTATCCTCAAAAACTCGGGTGAGAAGATTTATCCCTTCTCTCTTATTGTAAGAGATGAGTTGCAGGTTAAATAATCTGACCACAAAAAGTTGAATGAATTTTTCTGACAATAACAAAAATCTTTTATTGGTCTCCATTGCTCATCATATTGCTTGTAAAGGATCAAAGAAGAAAAACTTGTTTCAACCAAATGAAAGAAATTCTGGTACTCCTTAAATAGCCGGTCAGGACGAAACCTCCCTTATTATGTAATGTTACATCACATTCAAAGCAGACCCACTCGAGACTGTTTCTGGAAGGAATCTGCTAAAAAAGAACCAACTTACTAATTAATTTGAGCAGGAGCTCTCTTAAGAAAATTACAGCAGCATATACAGGGCACTGTAAACTAAATTATCATATGTTCAAACTCCGGCTCACAGAGTTGTCTCTCTGTAGGTACTGTGGACGGGAGGATGAGACAGCATATCATGTCTCTTGCTGGTGCGATGGGTTTGCTGGCCTAAGATTTCGTTTATTCGGCACTGATAGGGAAAAGGATCCCAAAGCAAACGAGCTTATCAATCCAACAAGCTTATTACAGTTCATAGAGACTGCAGGTATTACACTCTAACTGAAGTGACTTCAAACTAGGCACACAATAGGCCTACATGGCCGTAGTGCACTCTTACAGCAAAAAAAAAAAAATACATCACATAATCTCCCTTCTTATCTCGAGTTATTCCATCGTTTATTTTTGTTCCATAGTGTGATTTTCGTCAAATTATATTACATTGTGGGAATTGCCGTCTTCAGAAGAAGAGGCTATCAAATATTTTCAAGACGCCGGGATAATTGTTTTGTTATTGTTACATTTGTTTTCGTGTATTTAATATATATGTTGTAAAATAAACGTATTTGATCAAACTGTTTTGTTATTATTACATTTCTTTTCGTCTATTTAATATATATTGGAATTACGTATGTCGTCTATTTAATATATATATTTGTTTATTATTACTTTTGTTTTTGTTTACAATTTCAATAATATGAATCTAATACAATAAATATGAATACGGAGATAGGAATTATCAGTGCCTTATCAGAATTAGCAGTGTTGAAGTTATAAACATTGGCAGATAGCAGTCGGACCTGACCGGCTATATAGAGTACCGAAAATTTTCTTCTGGAATTTGCTCTTTGCTCTCTGAAAAGTACACCATCGCTATCTATTTCTTCTTTTACTGCTTAGGCAGTGTTTTAGCGTGGACCAGGTAGACCTCTCCTGCACTCATCTCCCATCACTTCTCAGGAAATTTGGGCTATTCCTCTTGGTCTGCACATGGGTCTCATATGTCTTTGTTGCGACTTTGCTCCGATCCACCAAGAGAGGGTGCCCTTCAAACCATCAAGTTCTTCTACTATGGCTTCTGCCGGTTTAACCTTGACATAGGCTCAGATAGAAATATTGCTATTGGCTAGTATTCTTCTCCTCCTTTAGCAGGTTCGCATCTCTAGGGTCTGAGTCTGGTCCCTGTCCTTTGAGTGAGGGTCCTGGACTCAGAAGAATACTTTAGAATAAGAAGGAACAACGCCTCGTAGAGCGCTATCTTCATTTTCTTGGTAACCTCTCTTCTGGAGGCCTGAGCCTCTCATGAATGAGCTGAACAATGTCTGTTCTCGTCAATAAAGCCACTTTTATTGATCTGAGCACCTAAGTATTTAAAACTTCCTACTTGCTAAAAACTCTCACCTTTCACCCTGATAAACCTGATGAGGTTTCCTTCCAATGGGCATGCTTATTGTTCGGAAGTTTTTAATTTCATCAAAATCTTTGAAATCAAAAACCTTATTTGGCTTTGTCATTTGTAGGTTGCGAAAGCGTCTTTCCAAGCCAACCAAGATCCTCTGGATGCTGCCATCTTCTATCTCGCAATGAAGAAAAAGTCTTTAGTCTGGGGTCTCTTCCGGTCCAAGAGGGACGAGAGGATGACACAGTTCTTCTCTAATGATTTTGCCGAGGACAGGTAATTTAAAAAATAATGCATTTTAGTTGTTTTTGAAATTTAGGCTATCATCAAACAAAATAAAAATAATTTAACCATCATATTTCTCAGCAGTCTCTGCAATTTTTCCAAAGAGGATCTAAGTTTTTATTGCTTAATTGTTTGTAAGATAGAAAGGTTAGTAATCATTTAACTGTACGCTATACTATACTCTACTATATATGTGTTTATAGATATTAAACTTTATGCTATACTATACTCTACCATAGATGTATGTATAGACATTTAACTCTACTCTATACTATATTCTTCATAGATATATGTACTTTGTACTACCATAAATACTGTTAACAAAAGTTGAATTATGTTTACATCCTTGGGTATTATTTAGATAATCCTTACTTCTATCCGGTTATTTTCTTTACATGTCAGGATGATAATCCCAATTAGTTTGTATTTTTCTTTCGCTCAGTTAACATAGAGTAGGGTGATATAGAAAACCGAACAGCTGTGATCGCCTTACACAAATCTGGAAAATGTAGGTCAGAGATTTCCAACAATTTGAAATCTTTGGGTATCAGCCGTATGTTCGTGTATCGCACTATAAATAGATATAATGAGACCCTACCCTATTTGTATGTGACAGACCTCTACCGGGCCGTCCTCGCACTGTGAGAACGGCAAATGCTGTGAGAGCAGTGATTGCAAGAATCAGAAGAAATCCCATTCGAAAACAACAAATCAAGTCTCGGAAAATGGGAATCTCTGTCAGATCAGTGTCTCGCATAGTAAAAAGTGACCTTAGGATGGGTATATTTCGAATAATGACAGGACAAAGGCTAAAAACTTCACTAAAAAAAGTAAGAGTGGATAGATGCAAAGTGCTCCTTGACCGTTACATCAATGGTCTTCATCAAAAGATTTTGTTTAGCGATGAGAAAATTGATCGAGTTGAGAGAGTTGATCTTCAACTCCTCGACGAAGCTTGACTAATTATTATTAAGCCTGATTTTATTATAATTATCCTTTTATTTATTTATTTTAATCTTTTTGTAACCTATTTTTACTGTATACCTGTTTTTTTTTTTATTAATCCTATTTTTTCTCTTTTATTGAATTAAGAAAATTATGAAGTTTACCATAGCCATGTAATTTAATAATTTATAAGATACATGTAATTTTATCAATACATACATGTATTATGCTTAATGCATGGAACATGTAAAATTTAACAAATAAATGGCCCTTATATAGGGTTACTGTATGAAGGAAGTAGATAAAAAAATAAAATTAAAAAAAACACCAAATAAAAAATATAACAAATTTTAATGATGTAGAGTTGGTTGACCGTTGATATGATATGAGAAGGAATTAGTCGAGGGTGCGGTCAAAAAAATAAAAAAAATTAAAATATATAAATAATTTTAATTTTTGCCGACGTTTCGACCCACTTTGCAGGTCGTCTTCAGGGCTACAAAAGATACAAACATGTTGAAAAAATAAAAATAAAATAAAAAATAAATATAAGTATATATAAATTACGAAGAAGTTGTCAGATACAGAAATAAAAGATAAAGAAAATAAATACATGATAAGAAAATAGATAAAAGAAAATAAATACATGAATGTTAACGAATAAATGAATGTTAACGAATAAATTGATTGAAAATTGAATAACTATTGTTACAGTAAAGTTAAAATATGGATAAGATAACATAATAATAAGATATCAGTGGATAACAAGCAAGTGGAGGTTACCTTTAATTGTAAATAAACAGATAACGGGACCAAAGGTTAAGAAGTGAAGAAATTGAAAGATTAATAGGGTAACATTAGTGTAATATTGTTGGGATAGATTATTAAGTATAAATAACTCTATAAGAAAACAATAATTTTAAAAGAATACTTTAAAATGTAAGAATAAATGTAAAAACAAGGTTATGATATAAAGAAACAAAAAACAGGTTGTACTATATATAGATGACAATTGACATTTAGTTTTTTGAAAGCGGTAATGGAATGGTAGGCTGTATGAAGATAATAATAAGGTGTATAGTTGAAGGATAGGTGTGTTAAGAAAGGAATCTCAATAAAAGTCAAAACATACCGTTGGATGTGGCACTGCGGGAGGCGGTTGAAACACTGGCAGTGTCAAAAACTCTAGTTAGCAGTGTCAAAAAAAAGTTCTAGTAAAAATAAACGCATACATACATACACATATATACACATACAAACACACACACACACACACACACACACACACACACACACACACACACACACACACACACACACGCACACACACATATATAAAAGGAGAAGTAAAAGAAAGTATAAATGGAAGTGAGAAGATTAAATAGAGGTTTATGATCGAGACTTTTTTAAAATGTTGATGATTTGGGAGTAGGCGAGTGATAGATTTTGCTTGTCGGTTTTTAAGTTAAGTGGTTTGTAGTCTAATTGAATGAAAACACTTTCCGTAAGTAGTCTTTTGTCGTGGTTAGGTACTGTGGCAAGAATGGAGGTATTGTCAAAGTCAAATGTGTGGTTTGAGGTTAAGGCGTGTTCAGAGAGTTTAGAAGCAGTAGAGTTCTTAGAAGTAATTGAGTATTTGTGTTGTTTGATGCGGTCTTTAAGTTGGTTTTTGGTTTCTCCAATATAGGCGGAGTTACAATTGGTGGTAGAGCAAGGAATGCGGTATACGATATTAGAGCGGTGTTGCGGAGGGATGGGGTCTTTTAGGTTGGAGTAAATATCGGCAAGTTTGTTATAGTTTTTAAAAGCAACTCGCAGGTTGGGAATAGAGGAACGTAAAGATTTTTGAATTCTATCCGAAAGTAAAGGGATGTATGGTAGAGATCTATATAAAGGAATGGGGGGCTGATTTTGAGAACTAGAGAAAGGGATGGAGGATGAGGGGCGGGTTTTGTAGTCAGTAATAAGTTTTTTAATGGTGTTGGAGGGGAAGTTATTAGACAATAGTATCCGTTGTATGCGTCTAGTGTTTGTTTCATGTAGGTAAGGGTCAGATAGAGAAAAACATCGGTGAATGAGGTTTTTGGCAACGTTAAGTTTTTGGTGAAAGGGGTGTTGAGAATAGTAGTTGAGTAATCTGCCAGAGTATGTTGGTTTTGTGTACCAGTCTGTGGATAAAGTATTGTTGGGATGTCTTTTAATGAGAAGATCGAGGAAAGGGAGGGAATAGTTATCTTCGTATTCAACTGTAAAAGAGAGGCGGGGATGATATGAGTTAAAGGCGGAAAGGATGTCAGGAATAGTATCAGGATTGACGATGAGAAGAAGGTCATCGACGTATTTTTTTATAAGAAATATGTCATTAGGAAACTGTGGGGCTATGGTGTTTAGGAGATCATTAAGAACAATGTTAGATAAGTCGGGTGCGAGAGGATTACCCATAGCTAATCCTGCAATTTGATTATAAAATTGTCCATGGAACTGGAGATAACCAGATTTGCAACAAAGTTGTAGGGATTCAATAAATGATGAACGGTTAAGGGAGGTATGAGACTCTAAGGATGACCAGTTATTTTCTACTATAAGAAGGGCTTTATCTATAGGGATGTTGGTGAAGAGGCTTTTAACGTCGAAAGAGACTAGAATGTAATTATCGGGAATGGTTAGGGATAATAACAAATTACGTAGATGAAAGGAGTTGTGAATATCATATGGATTGTCATGACTAAGGATTTGTAAGGATGGGAGTACAAATTTGCTGAGTTTTAAAGAGGGAGAGTTGATATTAGAAGTGATAGGACGGAGGGGAGTGCCGCGTTTGTGAATTTTTGGAAGACCATAGAAACGGGGAGCCACGGAGTTATAAGAGATGAGGTTTCTGTAAGTAGGATATGTGATTTGTTTAGAGTGTAAGAGGTTTCTGATATGTTGGTTAAATTGGATTTTAAGAGAAGGGGTGGGGTCACGAGTTGTAGGAGCGTATGTAGATATGTCTGATAGGAGTTCAGTCATTTTTCTATTATTGTCTGTGAGGTCCATGATAACTGTTTTATTTCCTTTGTCCGCTTTAGTGATGATGATGTCGTCATGATTTTTAAGGAAGGAGCGTGTGGAAGAAAGTGTATGTATGTATGCGTTTATTTTTACTAGAACTTTTTTTTGACACTGCTAACTAGAGTTTTTGACACTGCCAGTGTTTCAACCGCCTCCCGCAGTGCCACATCCAACGGTATGTTTTGACTTTTATTGAGATTCCTTTCTTAACACACCTATCTTTCAACTATACACCTTATTATTATCTTCATACAGCCTACCATTCCATTACCGCTTTCAAAAAACTAAATGTCAATTGTCATCTATATATAGTACAACCTGTTTTTTGTTTCTTTATCATCATAACCTTGTTTTTACATTTATTCTTACATTTTAAAGTATTCTTTTAAAATTATTGTTTTCTTATAGAGTTATTTATACTTAATAATCTATCCCAACAATATTACACTAATGTTACCCTATTAATCTTTCAATTTCTTCACTTCTTAACCTTTGGTCCCGTTATCTGTTTATTTATAATAAAAGGTAACCTCCACTTGCTTGTTATCCACTGATATCTTATTATTATGTTATCTTATCCATATTTTAACTTTACTGTAACAATAGTTATTCAATTTTCAATCAATTTATTCGTTAACATTCATTTATTCGTTAACATTCATGTATTTATTTTCTTTTATCTATTTTCTTATCATGTATTTATTTTCTTTATCTTTTATTTCTGTATCTGACAACTTCTTCGTAATTTATATATACTTATATTTATTTTTTATTTTATTTTTATTTTTTCAACATGTTTGTATCTTTTGTAGCCCTGAAGACGACCTGCTAAGTGGGTCGAAACGTCGGCAAAAATTAAAATTATTTATATATTTTAATTTTTTTTATTTTTTTGACCGCACCCTCGACTAATTCCTTCTCATAACAAATTTTAGTATTCATAATGAATAAAGCCAATTATTATTGCCAAAAGTACTTAGCGCTAATTTTAGAAATCTTCTATTTTAATAATAGAGTATTTAATATTTCAGGTGGAGAAAAGCAGCTCTAAAAAATGCTTTTGCCCTACTTGGAAAACAGAGGTTTGAACACGCTGCTGCATTCTTTTTATTAGCTGGTGCATTGCGTGACGCGATCGAGGTAAGAGTTCTTTTATTATTATTATTTTTCTGATATAACTTAAGCCTAACTTTGAATATGTGTATTATATAACTTTTTTATTTATTCGCAGGTTTGTTTGAATAAATTAGAAGATCTTCAACTAGCCATGGTCATCTCGAGGCTATACGAAGGTGAAATGGATTCAACACCACCAAATCTAAAGAGACTTTTGTATGAGGTAATAATGTACTTTTTATTAGTTGACTATGTGATTTTTTTCTACATAATCCTTATCAATATATTTATAAGTAGACCCGCAATACCTTGAATTCCAAGGGAATAAGAAATTCTTCAAATTATGCGTAATTCAACTTAAAAATAGTTTGAGTTATAGTGGTAATTTTTTAAACATTTTTAGTTATTGAAGTGAGATTCAATAATATAATGTGCAGCAATATAGTGTCATTATTTAACACACACTCATACATTCACCACAAATCTTCATAAAAACTTAATTATTTTAATTATTATGCTGATTTTTAAAAATTTTGAGCCAGTCATTGCTTATTTAATAATAATATATTCTGCCACACCCAAGGGCTTATTGCTAAAGTTAAGTACCCAATAATACAAGAAAAAAATATATAAATAATTAAGAACGCTGAGATTGAGTGTTTGTTGAGAAATGAGAATAATGTTAACTTTATAAAAGCTGGAAGGCTGAGGTGGGCAGGACATGTGGCCAGAATGGGAGGTAATAGATTTCAAGTTGACTACAAGAAAAAAGATATATTCAAATAATGACAGGACAAAGGCTAAAAACTTCACTAAAAAAAAGTAGCATTTCCAAGTCAATTTCAACCTTTTCCAAGTCAAATTCAGCCTTTTCCATTTCAAAGTAAACCTTTTCCATTTCAAATTCAACCTTTTTTTTATTTATTTAATTATCTTTAATTTTTCGATGTGTGGGTCTGTTATCGTATGAGTAGTTTTTTAAAATAACCTCCTTTTTAAGATTACGTGACTGGGTTTCGAATTATTTAAGTTTTTTTGAATTATTCGATATAAGAGTGTATTTTTATGTTTCCCGATCAGTAAATTTTGAAAATGACATCCATTTTATGTTTACGCCACTGTGTTTTGATTTATTTAAGTTTTTAGAATTTATCAAATATAAAAGTCTACATTTATGTTTCTGGAGCCGTAGATTTTGAAAACGACCTCCATTTTAAGATTAGGCCGCCGCGTTTCGACTTATTTGAGTTTTTCGGATATTTTTCATATGAGGGTTTATTTTTATGTGTCCGGAGCTGTAGATTTTGAAAATGACCTCCATTTTAAGATTAGGCCACCGCGTTTCGACTTATTTGAGTTTATCGGATATTTTTCATATGAGGGTGTATTTTTATGTTTCCGGAGCTGTAGATTTTGAAAATGACCTCCATTTTAAGATTACGCCACTGCGTTTCGACTTATTTAAGTTTTTTTTATTTATTCGATGTAAGGGTATATTTTTATGTTTCCGGAGCTGTAGATATTGAAAATGACCTCCATTTTAAGATTACTCCACTGTGTTTCGACTTATTTAAGTTTTTTTGATTTATTCGATGTAAGGGTGTATTTTTATGTTTCCAGAGCTGTAGATTTTGAAAATGACCTCCATTTTATGATTACGCCACTGCGTTTTGACTTATTTAAGTTTTTCGAATTTATCCAATATTAAGGTCTACTTTTATGTTTCTTGAGCCGTAGATTTTGAAAATAATCTCCATTTCATAATTACGCCATTGCATTTTGACTTATTTAATTTTTTCGAATTTATCCAATTTAAAGGTCTACTTTTATGTTTTCGGAACCGTAGATTCTGAAAATGACCTCTATTTTATGATTATTCCACTGCGTTTCAACTTATTTAAGTTTTTAGAATTTAACAAGTATAAAGGTCTAATTTTATGTTTCTGGAGCAGTAGATTTCCCCCATTTTGTAAATGACCCTATTTCAAGTTTATGCCACTGTGTTTTGGATTATAAAAGTTTTTTTTTTTACTTTTTCGGTATAAGGATCTACTTATATGTTATCCGAGACGTATTGAAATTTTTCTAATCTTTAATATTTAAATTTATCTAATATTTAAGCTCCATTTTATGATTAAGCTGCTGCATCTCGAATAATTAGGCTTCATTTTGGATTTTTTCAATACAGTTTCATCAATATGTTTTCGATTATGAATAAATAAATAAATACTATGAAGCTAAAGTAAAATTAACCACAGAATACAAACTAAAAAGCCGAAAAGCAGCTGGTAATAAATTTAACCTTCCGTATTCAGATTTTTCAGCTAATTGTTCGAAATCTTATAATTTTGTGACAGGAGACCACAACATTAAAAAAGATAACTAAAATTAAATTAAAAATGAGACAATACATATTTTATTTATTTTGATTAGATATTTTTATTTATTTATTGAAAAATAAATTAATCCTTCATATTTTGTTTTTTATTCAAAGGAAAAATCAAAAACACTTAAAAAAACCGAAACACAGTGGCCTAATCTTAAAATGTAAGTCGTTTTAAAAACTAAGAAGGCTCCGGCATCATAAAAGTAGACCTTTAAATTGGATAAATTCGAAAAACTTGAATAAGACGAAACGCAGGTGGCGTAATCTTAAAATGGAGGTCATTTTCAAAATCTATGACTCCGGAAACATAAGAATACACTCTTTTATGATAAAAATTCGAAACACTTAAAGAAATCGAAATGCGGTGGCCTAATCTTAAAATGGAGGTCGTTTTCAAAATCTACGGCTCCGGAAACATAAGAATACATCCTCATATGAAAAAAATCTGAAAAACTCAAATAAGTCGAAATGCGGTGGCCTAATCTTAAAATGGAGGTAGTTTTCAAAATCTACGGCTCCGGAAACATAAGAATACATCCTCATATGAAAAAAATCCGAAAAACTCAAATAAGTCGAAACGCGGTGGTCTAATCTTAAAATGGAGGTCGTTTTCAAAATCTACGGCTCCGGAAACATAAGAATACACCCTCATATGAAAAAAAAATCCGAAAAACTCAAATAAGTCGAAACGCGGTGGCCTAATCTTAAAATGGAGGTCGTTTTCAAAATCTACGGCTCCAGAAACATAAATGTAGACCTTTATATTGGATAAATTTTAAAAACTTAAATAAATCAAAACACAGTGGTGTAAACATAAAATGGATGTCATTTTCAAAATTTACTGATCGGGAAACATAAAAATACACCCTTATATCGAATAAGTCAAAAAAACTTAAATGATTCGAAATGCAGTCACTTAATCTTAAAATGGGGGTTATTTTCAAAACTAGGTACAGGACAGCATAATACTAGTCCCTAATAAATCCGAATAGGTACAATAAATCGATATCCGTAAGTGAAAATTCTACTTAGGAGAGCATAATAATAGACTTTCATATTGGAGGGGAGGAGGGAATGGCCATTATTTAAAAAAAAATATATAAATTTTACAAAAAATTAAAACATTAATTTGAAATGAAAACGGTTGAATTTGAATTGGAAAAGGTTTAATTTGAAATGTAATTGGTTGAATTTGACTTGGAAAAAGTTTAATTTGATCTGGAAAAGGTTGAATTTGACTTGGAAAAGGTTGAATTTGACTTGGAAATGACATAGAAATATCAAACTGAAAAAATCTAAAATGTTAAAATAAATGGATATGCAACCGCGTTATCAATTTTTTTTTGTATTTTTCAAAAGCTATGCCTTCGATAATATAGTAAGTGGCCTTCATTTCGAAAAAAATCGAAAATTGACAAAAATTCGAAAGTTGAATTTGAAATGGAAAAGGTTGAATTTGACTTGGAAAAGGTTGAATTTGAAATGGAAAAGGTTTAATTTGACTTGGAAAAGGTTGAATTTGATTTGGAAAAGGTTGAAATTGACTTGGAAATGCTATATATACATATACAAATAAATTAAAGTTATCTAAAATTTATTCACTCACATTCTCCTCTAGGAGAAAACAAGGTTAATTGTAAAATAACCATTTTACCTAATATACATAAATGTAAAATAAATATTAATAATTTTATTTACGGTCAGACTTATATTGTTATAAAAAAATATTTATTTTGATATTATGTGTGCATTTTTACTAGTTGTAAATTTCATTAAATAAATAAAATACAAAAAAAAAAAAATTTTGATATTACGGTTATTTTATAGGAAATCCTTGGATGTGACGCAAAGGGAGAAAACCAAGACTTCACTCGTGTACATCCAGATCCTTTCCTGCGGTCGATGGCTCTTTGGATCTTGAAAGATCCAACCGGCAGTCTCAACACTCTTCTTCATACCAACGTAGGAACGATGCATCAGCATTATTCCGATGATGACAAACAAGAATCAACAGGTAGACTATAAAAATCTGATTGTATTTTTGTTTTTTTCTGTTGGCATTACAAACCTTATAGGTGTTTTTTCACCTTAGCTAAGCTCACTCTCTGCCTATCTTGGGATATTTCTTTCTATTGCATGCTTTTTGGCATTATATTTAGTTTTGTCTGTTATCGAGGCATTCGTTGTCGCGTAGAGGCTTACAGTTAGATTGCAAGCTACGTGGTCTGCCCATCTTGAGATATTGATTGACCAGTTCCTGCAAGCAGCTCTTTATTAGTCTTTCTTCTCCATGTGTTAGTACTCTTATCTCAAATCGATCCAGTTATCGTGCGGAGGATTTTCCTCTCTAATTTTTCAATACTAGATTAGTAACCAGGTCTCACAGTCATATATGAGAACTGACTATCATAGCATTGTAGACCCTTGATTTGAGATTTTTTAGTGATCTGATTTTAGTAACCATATAAAAATCAATATTTTTTAGTGTAAGACAGGTGCCACGAAAAATAATGAATAATTACAATTGAGCTTCTGCGAGTATATTATGTTGTTCAACATGCATGGAACTATATCTATAAGCTAAATTATATACAAAGTTAATGTATATAATCTACTAAAAATACTATCTACATTAAATATATTAACAATAACCATCTATAATAAATATATTAACATTCGCAATAAATAGAAACTCACTAATAAAAAATCTATCAAAATAACAGCGTGCACATAAATAACTAAAATAACAATAACAACATGCGCATGCTAGATATGTTTCTATATAATGATAATTAGTAGGATGCTCGAGAAATAAATATGGTAAAATAATAACACAGGCAATAAATAGTCCAATCCCCAACCAGACATCAACCTCCAGAAGGTATCGTATTCTTTGACGTCCTAGCAAGATATCCCCACTGAAAAGAAACAATTATATAATTTCTCTATGTCAATCGATTCATAAGGTTGATAGGTAATCGATAATGATAATGACTCTTCATTATTGAACTACAGAAGGTAGTTTAGTTTGCATGCGAAATGTACCAGTAAATATGTTACCTGCTCGTGGAGACTTATCCTAATAAAGATGTATTCTTCTATTGGCTTCTATTTATCAGATTGTAATGTTAACATAGGAGATATGGTTCCTTCACCATTTTTCGAACCTTCCTAGTGTTTCCTCAGCTCAGTGTAGCCACCCGTGATAGTTCCCAGCTCCAATCCTCCAATATAGCTCTCCTTCCCCCTCACATCTAGTTTATTTTTTTATTTTTTCAAAGTGTTTTTTATCTGATAAATCCTGAGATAATATTATGGTTCATTGGCTTAATATTTTCATTTTTATTTATTTAATCTTTATTTGTTTTGAGAGAAGAACCCCATACAAATAGAGTCTATCTTTGTATTATAAACATTACTATACTTATGGTAGTACAATATTTTTTTCTTTGTTATGCTACATTATAAATATTATAAACTAGTTAAGTATAACTTACAAATCTTATTTCGTAAAAAAATCAAACAGTTAAAATAATGCATAATAATTATCAACATATATATATATAAAATTCAGATCAAATAGTTATAAACATCTATATAAAATATTAAATTGTTAATAGAACACATAAACAACAACAAAACAATAAATACATTTTATCTTTTATATATTAATGTTAAATCATATTTTAAAATTAAATTAACAGTTTATTTATATATACAGAGGAAACAAGGTTGGAGCAGATTAAATATACAAATCTAATCTACATTTTCGCTAAAATATCCAAAGGACAATATTTGAGTTTACCGTACCAAATCTGTATAATTAGATATATCGGAGATAAATAAATATAGCTTTCTCATATCATCTATAGTGGTTGGCTTAAATATTTCCATCCCATTAAGAATTCCCATACTCTTGTAAATTCTTGCTTTCAAACAATTCTATGATACCTAATATTTTCAGAATGAAGGTTTAACTTTTATTTGGAGTCAACCTGTATTCATGTTATAATATATTTCAATACAATTTTTTTAAATAAATTTTATTTCATTCTGTCCCTGTTTAGGTTATCAAATATTAAAATCTTACTTATTTTGGGCAGTTTTGATTTACAACAACTAAATTTAATAATTTATTTTATTTTTATCATCAGTGAATTACAATTTGTTATTATTTTAAAACTTATTATTATTATTTACTAGCAATTATAAAATATTTTTTTAATACCTTTATTATTTTTTTTTACAGCCAATCCAAATGTTTTTAATTTCTACGTGTATCTACGAACCCATCCTCTGCTGATTAGGCACACGTTAGCGGCAACTTATCAGGACAAAAAGAAGCATACTGTTGCACTAGCTGGATTTACGTATGGGTCAGAATCCAAAACTACAAATGGTGATAGACAGGTGAATTTTGATAAAGTTTATTTTAATTTTTTTTATTTTATGCATTATTTTTCATTAAAAAAAAACTAAATAATTGCATCATAATTTATATATAAAAAAAGCTAAAACTTTAAACACTATCTTGAAATTACTATTCTGTTTTTAATCTACTAATAGGTCCGTGCGAAAAATTGGCACAGCAAATTGTTAAGTGATCAAATGCCAAATTAATAAGAAAAGAAAATAATGCAACGTATTATAATCAATTGTTACTTTATCGATAAATGTAATCGACAAAGGAAACAAAAATTAATTTAAAACTTCATTAACGTTTGGAACTAACATGTTTATAAGGAATTTATATACATGTAAATAGGGAAACCTATTTCTACTTTGTATTTAAAGCAACATTAGCAATTCTAAAAAAAAATAATTTTAACACCTGTCAAATAAATGTAAGGCTTCAGTAGCTGACACCTATTAAATTTCCAATTCCTTTAACAAAATAAGTTGAAAGCAGTTTACACTTAATCTAAAAATACTCGTAAGAAAAAATAAAACAAGAATTTTGGGATGGTATTTAAAGAGATTTTTATTCAATACTGCTATATTGATCATGAGGAACCCTCCTAATTTTGCCTACAGTACCCAGCTAGACCAAAGCAAAGCGACAAATATACAAGGCGAAAATATAAAAGCCACAAATTTATTAAATAGAGGTCTAGGAGATCTTGGAATTTTTTAAAAAGATTGTCAGGTACTGGTGCGCTGTCAGCTTCTAATGGTTTTACCCAAGTATTAAATTAAAATATTATTATGAGATTATTATTTAAAAATCAATGTCACAGCTGAAAAATCAATGTCTCATTATGGAATTTTTTTCAATGAACCTTAAGTTAGATATATTGAGATTTAACTGTATTTTCTTTAATAAATGGTATAATTATTTTATTCAGTTGATGGTTGAAGACTCCATCACTCCTCTGGAAAGGCAGTTATACTTCACGACTGCACATGCTCACTTCAAAGCTGGGTGTCCTGCTCTCGCTCTCGAGGTCCTGTCTAAACTTCCCAACAAAGTCGTCGACGTCAACTCAGACGATTCAAGTAAGTGCTTTTAGATTTTTTTTTAATTTATTTTTTTGTTTATTGTCTTATTTTGTTTGATTGATTGATTTAAAATATCAATTTAAAATAAATTTTATAAACTCATAAAATTTATAATATTCAAATTAATATGATTCAGCACCTCCTTGAAAATTAGAATTTACATAACCATTATTTTTTTAAATATTCTTAGGGATAAGAATAATAATATATTTTAACACTGTGGTCCCCAACCCGTTTATATTTGGGGGTACATTTATAGATTATTAAGCAGTTTAATTCCATTTTTCTCAGTTTTTTATTTTGTTGTATTGTTGATAATAAAGAATAAAAAGAATAGTTTTAATAATATAAAGTAAGGCTGTATTATTGGATTGTCCAGAAAATAATGCAGGATTTTGGTTTAAAAAGAAAAAAGAAAGATTTACAACTGCTTTAATTAATCAAAATAGTCTCCTCTACTATCAATACATTTCTTCCAACACGTTGACAACTATTCCATTTCCTCATAATAGAATTTCCCATTTTTATAATTTATAAACTCCAAAAAACGCATTTTCTTATTTCTTTTGTTCATTAAATTTTTTGTCACATAAGTAGTGGTCCAGGTACCTAAAAAAATGATAATCCGTAGGCGAGAGATCCGGAAGTAGGGCAGATATGTTAGAGTTTCATCCAACAGTTTTTGTGATGTCACACGTGAGACACGTGGCCATATGTTATCATGCAACATAATGGGTCCCTTCCGATTGACCAAAGATGGCTTCATTGTTGCCTATTTCTGATGCATTGCATTAATTTGGTTGCAGTACTATTCGGCATTGGTGGTTTCTCCAGGATTTAAGAAGCTGTAATGTATCAACCAAATGAAGTCCACCAAACAGTAACCATCATCTTTTTTTGATGAGTTGGAGGCTTTAGGAAATGTTCTGCTGCTTCTTCTTTGTCAAGCCACTGTCCAGAACGTCTACTTTTATCGTAAAGTAACATTTCTGAACAGAAAAGGGTCATTTTTATTTCGGCAAAGAAGCATAGCACAAACTTCAAAATGCTGTTTTTTTTGGTGGTCGTTTAATGTGTATGAAACTCAACTTTCAAGCTTTTTTACCTTTCCAAATCGCCTTGAATTGGTCATCGACGGTTGATTTGCTAAGTTTAAGTTTTCCTGCAACTTCTCGAACAGTTGCTCTAGTGTTTTCTTCCACCAAAGCTCACAGAATATCGTCATCAAGAGAGGAAGTCCTTCCACAACCTTCTTTGTCTTCAAAGCTAAAGGCTCCCTCATGAAATTTTTTGAAGCACTGTTGAACAGTGCACTCAATGCTGCTCTCGTCCAGACTTGATTGATGTTTCTGACGTCTGAGCCCCATTCCAGCCGAGTTTGAACTTGTAAAACAAAATTATACAAAAATAACGTGTTGACACCTTAGTAAAGATTGAATCATTTCTAAGCAGCGAAATGGTACAGAGTTAGTTTATCAAAAGTCCTCTTTAAATGGTTTTAACAATAACAATATCTACTTTCCTTTAAAGCAAATTTTGTCTATTTTACAGTGAAGCAATTATTAATTAATTACATTTACTAATGTTTTAGTTATCGCTTCCTATTCATCGAAAACCATAACTTACTTTAAAAACACGAAACTTAAATTGCTTACTATTCTGCTGAAATTCGGACTATTGTTTATATGAAGTTTATGATAGCTTTAGAGGTCTACTATTACCTGTTTAAATATTTCCCTCTACTTACGAGAAACCCTGTATATTATCATCTTTGAATATAAATAAAAGTATTGTATGTTTAATAGTTGACCGTTGCATTATAAATGAAGGAGATGGTCCGGGGTGGCGGTCATAAATAGGCTAAATAGTGGCAAAACTATTTTATTAAAAGCTAACGTTTCGACCTGACTTTTGACTTGGTCTTCTTCAGGGAAGTGTGTTTAGCAAGGTGTTTCACTTAGAACTCTAAGTGAATTAATAAAGGTAGGGCAAGGGACTGAGTCTAATTTAAATTACTGCACGAAAACGAAAGTGTGTAGTTAGCACCACTAACAGATCCATGATTTAATTTTGGGAGACTTCAGCCCAAAAGATTTTTTTTTGTATGTATATGTCAGAATAATTACTTCGGAAGGAAGAAAATAACTAACTGCCTATATGAAATGGTGTTTAAGTGATTCTTTAAGTCCTATTAAATGTCTTTAGACGAACAATAATACTTTCAGAGATTATTTTTTCATAAAACATTATTATATTTTACCGTTTTGTGGAGAGGGCTTTAGCCCGAAAACCCTCCATAGATCCGCTCGTGGTTAGCATGAAAGGCACTTGAGATTGCTAGTAAACCGACAACCAGATCAATCTCCAGACACTCCTAGCTATAGTGGTGTGTGCGTTTTTCCTTTTCCAACGTACAGTTTCTTCTGTTGTTTACTCTATATTCTTAGGAGACTTTATTATTGAGAAAAAACTCATTTAATATTCAACTGAACCTGCCCAATTGATCTGATTTCTCCTGTTCAAATGATAAGGGATAAGGAATGTTAGGAGTTCCATCTCCACTCAACAGATTACAGCACCCTTATCTTTTTAAATGAATAATGAATTTTAAATTATTTGATTTTCTAAATCTTCCCTAAACAATGATCATTTAGGATTGTAAAGGTGGCATTGTACCTAAGGAGAGAATGGGAATCTCCAACAACAATAGCCTGTTTTTCATTTAGATCTTAAATAACATATTCTAGTCATATTGAAGTGGTGTTGCCAAATTCATGCTCCATATTTGATTTGAAAACCATATTTGACCATCATGAAAGAGAACAGGTTTAAGAAGTGTATTATTGACTGTTTTGGTCCTTACCTTATCTTACCTTCACGCAGGTTAAAATGTAGTTGTTCGGTAATACAGATTTGAGGTAAATATTTATATATTTTTACATTCACTTACCTTTATATGTTTATATAGTAAGAGAAAGTATTGCGCACGTGAACATTTTCTAATCTAAGTTTTCAACGGAAATACACTTTTCGAGGTCCCTTGAGTCCAAATAACCAAGTCCTGCAAAATGGTCTGTGTTTGTGTGAACAGCTTAGCTCAAAAACGAATTCGTACAAAACTGAGATTGCATATTTAACATTTGTACATGCCATGGATGTTACAGCAACTTTTTAGTCAAAATCGGTTAACCGGAAGTGCCACTATATGATCGATTAGTGTTAAACACATTTTTATAATTTTCTCGAAAACTGCTTTAACAATTTTGATTCAATTTATTATTTCGGTGTAAAGTTAAGTTGTTTTTAATATAATCCAGGTCTTATTCTCATTGATATTCTCTAACAGTCAGCCCCTGTTGACTGAGGCCATGCTCCCCATCTCCTCCGAACATTCAAAACATACTTATTCCGTGTTTTTAGCTAAATCAACTTTTTCTTAGTATAGGGGAACCTAGCTAATCCATACAAATTATAACCAAGGACGTTCGGATTAGCGAAGAATGTGGATTATCGAATGGGGAGAGGAAAGATCACTTCGTAAATAACAATTCAACTTAAAAACAAAAATTATAGATGTTTTTATATTCCTATTGGCGTCACAGACCACATGATCTTTTGACTTTTATTGAGGCATTCATTATTACGTAGAGACTTCCAGATGGATTGCTACAAGCTACATGTCCTTGTTTCATGCATGGTATATTGATTGACCAGTTTCTCTAAGCAATTCTTTTTTGGTCTTACTTCTCCATGTATTAGTACTCTGATCCCAGATCGCTCCGGTTATCGTTCGGAGGATTTTCCCCTCAAATCTTTCAATACTTTTTTCTAGGGCGCTGATTAGTGCCCAGGTCTAACAGCCATACATTACAACTGGCTTTATCATAGCATTGTACACCCTTAGTTTAAGATTTCTTTAGATTTTTCAGGATTTATAACAAAAATTACAAATGTATTTATATGAAAATATTTTTACAATAATTAATCATTGTTCAGAAATTTCTTTTGTTTAGAACTTGAAATTATCTTTTAAAGCCTCTGACCGCATCTTCTACTAAAAAGAATAGCGTAAATTGTCATTGTATCAACAATAAAATTTTGTTTTAATCTAATGAAAATGCTAATTATATCCTCTGATAAAGACATTGAGAAAATAAATACACTTCAAAATTTTAATGTGTACATAGCTTGGATTTTATTTTAAATATAAGGTGTTGATAATACAGTTTTATTAAATGTATGTGTGTATATATATATATATATATATATATATATATATATATATATATATATATATATATATACACACACACACACACATATGTACATCATATATAAAAGCAAATATTCATATTTTTTTTGTTTTTAATGAAGTTGTTCAGATTATGGAATAATACAGTAGAGTCGACTTAATTTGAAAAGTGCAATCTCAGCGTTACGTACGTTCTTTATCACTTGAATTCTATTGCAGCTCAAATTTACATGATTTTTACTTTCACTTACATATATATGTAATATATAGTAAGGGTAAGTATTTCGATCGTGAAAATTTTTTAATCTGAGTTTTCAACAGAAATACATGTTTTGAGGTCTCCTGAATCTAAATAACCAAGTCTTGCAAAATGGTCTGTGTGTGTGTGTTAACAGTCTAGCTCAAAAATGAAAAGTTGTACGGAAGTGAAATTGCATATTTAAGATTTTTATATGCTAGGGTTGTTACAGCAAATTGTTCGTCAAAATCAGCTAACCGGAAGTAGGAATTTATAATGGACTAAACACATTTTTAAGATTATCTCAAAAAAAGCTTTAACGATTTTGATTAAATTCATTATATCAGTGCAAAATTAAGCAGTTTTAAATAAAATGTGGTTATTATTCTGATTGATGTTCTCTAACAGGGATTGAAGGGCTAATTTTCAATATTAGCTTACTCTAAAGTACCTTTAATTTTTTTATTTGAAACAATTGACAATTTCACATTAATTTCTGATATGGAAAATGGCTAAATATAAAATAACTAAAAAAAATAAGAGATCGTAATGGAGAATAGTTGTAATTGAGAAACCAAAGGAATACGAAGGAAACCAAGCTCACCGGCAAAAATTAGAACACGCTTCGAAACTTATCATGAGATTAATATAATATATACTCCAACAATATTATATAAATATACGTATGCGTTTTTCATAAACGCTATTGTTGGTATTATTTAATATTTAATTATATAGATTACAGCGATATAAATATTAAAATTTGTATATATGGGGGTACTTATACAAATAAAAATACCTACAATGAAATATAAATTAATATAGAGTCTATAATTTTTATTTTCACTTCGCTTTGCCTGAAAATACTTATTTATGCTAAGAAAAGGGTGGTAAGTGAAAATTGTGTGTACCCCCGTACCCGTGAGTACCCGACTTCAGTAATCAACTTTTGTTCTTGAGCTGTATTTCGTGGAATTACCTTCTTAAAATTCTATTTCTAGAGATGTAAGGAAAGGGTAAGGATATTTTTATTGATAAAACAAAAATAAATTTATGAAAATCGACAAAAACAATGATTCTTATAAGACATATATAATCAGAACAATTTTTTTTATAACTGAATCAACATATATGTATACTTGATATAATTTCCCCTCTTAATCAATAAAAATCATTGATAACAATATTGATATTTAAGCAGTCTTTTGACCTTATTGTCTACTTAATTCTATAAATCTTATTTATTTTTATTTTTAATCGAACTCTAGTTTAGTGAAAGAGTCTTCCAGAGTAGTGGTATCTTTTTTTGATTTCCCATTCTTTTTAGCCTCATCGATTCGTACTTTCTCTTCTTGGATCAGCCATTCTCTAGATGCTGTTACTGCTTTCACAGATTCTCCTAAAATATATTTTATATAATCAATAATTAATTGAAATTATTGATGATATTAAGAATAAATTATGTATTTTTTTACTCACTATGAAGTGATAAGATTGGTGGGGCTGATCCATTGTAATCTTCGGGTACTGTTTCAGGCGGAAGTCCCCCAAAAAATGGTTCAGCTGATGTGTGAAATTCCATCTGTGAAAAACATTTTGTACCATAAATGCTTTATAAATTGCTCTCTTAATTCACAAAATTATGATAGTTTTTACCATATTGACGATTTCTTTGCTTAGAAACGGTCTCGCTAGGGTCATCAACCTCTTAATTACTGTACTAGTATTTATAAAAACAATTTTAACTACTCTTATAGGCGAGGCATTCTGAAAAATTGAAATTATCATTTTATCCAAAGTCATAAGATGACTTATTGTTTAATATATTATGAATATATTAACCTCACCTTTCCATAATTAATGTAGTTCCTTACATTTGTAAGAGAACATTTTAAAAGATGTGACATCGTATAACCTGTCGCATCGTAGACGATCACATAGCCATTTATGATGCCTTTATCCCACATTGTGTGCATACAACACATAAACATCCACTTGACACAAAGTGGGTATACAAATCTTTCTGGATTAGTATCATTTAATTTACATACGATAACCCTATAACCATCTTGCGTTAATTGTGGTAATGGTGCTGCTAACCTGAAAAAAAAAAATTATATTCAATTCTGGAGATTATTTTAAATTAGTTTTAGTTTACATTTTTTCCAGTTAAATTAAATAATACAATCTGCCTAACTATTATGGCTTAAGATATCCATTTATACAATATATATACATGCTAAAGAAAAATAAATATATATAATTAAAATATCATCAGAATAATTTTATCCCCTTTACCGCTTGCACAGCGTGGGGTTACAATTTGTAGAGTTTGGACGAGATGTCTTGTTCTTGGACCAACTCTCTTCTCCTACTCCAGTACACATCCCGCCTCCTTAACACTCTCCTCCCAGGAAATGCTTGGTCTTCCTCTTGGCCTTCTTCTCTCCAGGCGTGTCTCATACGTCTTCCTGGCAGTTCTTTTTTGGTCCATCCTAAGGAGGTGCCCGGAACCACCTTAGATTATGATCCTCTGAACCGGTTTAACTCTGAGGTTAGTCTGTGTGGTGCGGTTCCGTATTCTGTCTCGTCGAGTCCTTTCTTCCACGATTCGGAAGAGTCGGAAAGAATAGGGAGGAATGTCATAAATAGAATAAAATAAATAAGAATATAATAAATAAAATAGTGGATTGATACTTGACTGTAGCAGACAGTTGAACATAAGTTGGTTTGGGTTGTTTAAAACAGTAAAAATAAATAGACATAATTTATTTATTAGTACTAGCTGAAAATCCCAACCAATTTAATGTCTCTTCAAATAATAATTATGATGTATATGCTATATATTAAACATAAAAGTAAAATAAGCAGCTTACTTAATATTGAAAACTACTCAAAGGTAAAATATTAATATTATAAACATATAAATGTAATACAATACTTACATTATATTATTTAATGTTTCTTGCATATCTTCAGCGCTTGGGTCCCAGTTGGCAAAAAAATCTGGCATTGTAGTCCTGTAATTATAAAACGTCTCTATTGTCTTTTTAGCATGTTCTACATCATAAAAACAAGCATGGAGGAAATGGCATAACATTTCATCTGTAAAACCCAAAATTGATTAACAAATTGTTGTTTGAATATTATATTTTTTTATTAATAAATAAAAGAATTATATCACTGGGAATAAATGTAAAATCAGCTTAGTCATTATTGATTGTTTATTAAAAATGTCAAGCAAACTTTTATTTCATGAAACAGCTACTAATTAGATAACGTTTTATTTATTTTTATTATAAAACTTCATTTTGATTACAATTGTTTCTAATCATTAAGTAATGATAACATATCCAATTATCAACTTCCATGTTTACATCTATCTTAAAAATTTATTTTTTTATTTTTTTTTTCTCTAGTGTCATAATGAAACCGATAATAAAAACTGACAGTTGTAAATGATAAATTATTTTCAGATATCATAAAAAAATCATCCATTATTAGGATTAATGATATGCCGAATGAAAATTTTCTGAAGTATATTTTAGACAGTATAGTTTTTATTTAATATTTTTTACATAATAAAGGTAGCCGGTTACTTTCTTAGCAGCTAGATTTTATTTTATTTTATACATAAAATTAATAATTTAACTAAAATATAAATCTGGCTTTAGCAAACTTAAAGTAAACTAAAGTTATAAGGAATTATACATGATTGATTAATTTTTAGTTGAGAGAAAAATCCTCTGCACGATAACTGAAGCGTTCTGTTATCAGAATACTAGTGCTTGGAGGATAAAGACGAATAAAGAGCTGCTTATAGAAACTTGTCAATTAATATGACATGATATGAAGGCAAGGAGGTTAAGATTTAGCTTGAAGCAATCCATCTGGAAGCCTCTACACAACAATAAATGCATCAAAAGACCTCGTGTAAGGCCAAAAAGTACATGGATAGATGGATTCGACAAAGATGCCATCTAGATAACTAGAATGATAGGAATAGCCCAAGATAGACAGAGATGCTGAAGGCTGATTAAGTGGACATAAGATCTACAAGATTTGTAATGCCAATAGGAAAAAAATTAATAGATTTCTAACTGAAAAATAACTGATAGATTTCAATAAGTTAACCACTAGCTTTATAGGAAGCATTCCTTATCTTTTTGTAACACGTGCCATAAACAGCGGTTTCCCATATTGAGGCATGCCACATTCTTTACCTTTCCCTCCTCTCTTCTATACTCTGCAATCTTCACAATAATTATTAATATGTAGCATAAAGCTTGTTCAACCCATGTATAATTTTTATTCAACCTCTTTCAAGTCATGTTTAATTTAATTTTATTCAGTCATTAATAATGTTTTATTTAGTACTACATAATATTGTAATAGTATAATAGAATATTCTATTAGTAGTTGATATATTCTAAGGTTAGATCATTGAACTTGTTATCCAAGTAATTATATTCTCTCGGACTAGTAGCCGGATTAATCTAGCGAGTATATGGCTTCTAGAGATATCGGGTACCATTGGATTATATAACTCATAATCTAATTCAGTAATGCACAGCTTGGCACTGTGGCTAGTTATGTCTGCACTGAACTGTAAACTGATCAACTTTCTCATACATGAGAAATTATACTATATTCAAATACTGAATGCAATGATATAATTTTTAATGTTACTAAAAAAATTATTATAATTTTATTAAAAATTATAGAAATAAATTGTATACAATTCATAAATAAATAGATATAAAAAGAAATAATTAACTACTTAAAATTAAAATTAAAAAGACTGCAATATGTTCTTTTTAGACCACACGATAGAAGTGAAAACACCAACAAGGCGAGATTTAACCAACAAAGAAGATGAAATGTTGAACATTTCCCTCGGTTACAATATGCGATAAAAACATTTCAATCAGCCGACTTTACCCGAACATTAAAAATCTGAGGGATCAATCTAGTTACCTGTCTACAAAAAAGTGCAAAACTTTGAAAAGTAAAAACTCAAAACCTTACAATAGTTATTTTTACGATATAATTGAGTCGTTTACTTCCAAAGTGAACCATAATTGTTTTTTATGGAATTGAGATAAGTTGCGATTTCCATCTGAAATCAGGTAATCAGGCAATGGATCCGATAGTACTATTTTTTTTTTTTTTTTCATAAATGAACCTAATTATTAAAAAAAGGTGGTATGAAGATAAGTTTATATCCAAAACATATGATGAAACTTTCTTAGGTATTCATTAAAAAAAAAAAAAATAATCAAAAATTTTTTAAACTATTTTATTCAAATGAAAATTAAAAATATATTAATTTGATCGTGCCATCATTATAAACGATAAGGTAATTTTTCAGTTTCTCATTTTTTTATTTAAGCCAACAATACACTGATGTCTTCGCTTCAAAATCGTACAAAGACGTTTCAGCTCGTTGAGCCATTTTCAAGTCTCACATATGTTAAAAATAGATATGATGAGCATGATACTGGCTATTATGAGAAGGCGCATGTATTTAACATAAGAAACATAATGGACAAGTACATGATAGACTTGAAAATGGCTCGACAAGTTGAAACTTTGTTTTAGGATTTTGAAGTGAAAACATCGGTGTAATGATGGCTTAAATAAAAAAATAGAAACTGAAATATTATACGACACCGATATAGAAGAAAAGAGTATTGAGATAAGTTAATTGTTTATTGTACAATTTTTATGACTTTATTCCTCCCCAATCATACACCATTTATTCTCTCCAAAACAAAAAACAATCAACCTTACTTTTGTTAGAAAACAGGACTTGAAGTTATTTTTTTTTCTAAATATATTTGTTTGCGCTTTCTGAAAAATTGTCAATAATGATTATTTCACTGCGGTAATGAACGACGCAATTGAAAGATCTCCAAAACAAATACTTATGAAATGTCTTGAAAAATAATGTCTCTTAAAAATAATTGATGTGTCATTTATGATAGCTGATGCGAGGTTGCTATATCTGGTCTGTTTTTATATGATTTGATTATTCTTTTTCTGCTTGTCGATGTCTGAATTAGTGATGCATTGATTTTTTTTTTTTCTTTGTTCTTCTAATATTCCAATTATATTTTAATAATTAAATAACTAATCGCTCCCTATCAACAATATAGATTAATAAATAAACCAATATTAAATTAAAAATAAAAATAATAAAAGTCTGTTATCATTAATAAAGATTATAATATAAATTATAAAAATAAAAAAATTATTTTATCAAATAAGTGTTTAATATTAGAGATAACCTAGGATTTGTTTAAGTCTTTAATGGTTATAAATTGGTTAATCCCATAAAATCTTTGTGTATTTAATATTGTTTACAACTGTGTTTTGTTTATTATTTTTTTTTGTTCTTTTTTTGGGAGAGGGTAATATTTCAGAGGATTATATTGTAAGGTTATTTTATCACTTTAATGGTAATTATAGAGTGCTCGAGTTCGAATCTTATAGGTGTATATACTTTTTAAAAAATACTCTTGTAGAATAATGTAGAAAAATGCATAATTAGTTCATTATGAATCGTATTTTATAAATTATATAATAAATATAATATCGACTAACCTAAAAAAATTAATAAAAATCTAATGATATAGTGATATAATAAAATAATTATTTACCATCTACTTGAGGTAGATATTCAAGGGATTTCATCCATTCTTGTAGTTTCTGGACATCCTCGGGTTTGAGTTTGGGATCCTTAGCATATTCCTGTTCTGCGGTTACCTTCCAAGGAAATTTCATTTCTATTTCGTTCCTGCTTGAAAATAATTTTTTGAACATATAAATATTATATAATTAGTTTTATTTTAACATTTCAAATCTAAATTAACTTAGGTTTTCATTTATTTATTGATATATATATAGTGATATCATCGTATTTATGTTATTCATTCATAATAAAAAAAAAGAAAGAAAGAAAACAGAAATACATTTTTAAATTTTATTTATAATTGTGGGTAAATGGTTGACTGTCGTGAATAATGAAGAGAAGAATAGTTGGGGTTATCAGTCAAATAAGAAGGCAAAAATAAATGATAATATTTATTTTGACATTTGCCGACGTTTCGACCTGAAGTTCAGGCCTTCATCAGGGCTAAGAAAAGAACCATATAACAAGAAATGAAAACATAACTAGTATAGGTAAAAAAATTAAAGTAAAACGCAGTTGTTAGAACCACTATTGTCATTATTCTAACAACTGCATTTTACTTTAATTTTTTTACCTACACTACTTATGTTTCTCATTCCTTGTTATCTGGTTCTTTTCTTAGCCCTGATGAAGGCCTGAACTTCAGGTCGAAACGTCGGCAAATGTCAAAATAAATATTATCATTTATTTTTGCCTTTTTATTTCACTGATCATCCCAATTATTCTTCTCTTCATAATTTTATTTATGAAATTTTTTTTCAGATTTTCGTATATTTTTAATTAAAAATTAAAAATAAATCCAAGAATTTATGTAGGTCATTTACTCTGAACGAAATTGATAAACTCTCGATGGTTAGAAATCGGTAATTAAGTTGAACGTGATTTTCGATATTTCAACAGTAACGGTATCTATTCTACTGAGTTATTTTTATTTAGAGTCAGTTACATGCAGTATAAGCCTCTTTTCCACCTCCCAGCAGCGAAGGATTTTGTTAAACGATGTGTCGAAAGATACAGAAGTTCATAAAGGAATAACGAATCGCGATTTGAGATATATAATTGACCTACAATAAATATGTCAGTACTCAGTGGACGCAAAATTTGATGCTCTATGATTCTTTGGTTTTTTCCTCTTAAGGAACTCATTCCAAGTTACAGGACCATTTATAGTAATTTATCTCAGTTTTTATACCTTACCACGTAACAAAATTATAAAGTTCATTTACTCGTTCGACACACAATTTAACGTTCTTTAATTTATTAAAAAGTACATTTTTTTTTGTTTTGCTTTGATGCATCGTTTAGGTGTTATAGGTAAAAAAAAAAAAAAAAGTAATAAATGGCTGTAATAAGTTTTCCCTTGGTGGCCCGTATTCACAATTTTGTTTTTTACATGTCTAAACCCATATATACAAGCTAAAAAAAAATAAAAACTTTTCTCACATTTTTCGCTATGGATTTCCCGTTTCGATCCTCAAATTACTGGCTTAATATTCTTTAAATTAGCCGCCATCTTTGAAAGCAGCGGCTCTGGAACGGCAGACAAGGTTCTTTTTACTCAGAGTAACGTATACTTTTGTTGAGCTGAACATTTAAGAACGTTCAGCACTTTTTCGTGCTTTATCTTGAATATTTGGCGAAACTCTCGATCCGTCGACTTATCTTCACAGAGAATAGAGTACATAACAGTATATAAGAGAATTGCCTAGTTTATTTTATACTCCATGCTTATCTCCTACGGAGTTTTAAAATTATCCATCTTTATTTTTAGATCACTTTTTACTTTTATTTACCTATACATGAAATATATAGTAAAGGAGAGTATTACGATCGTGAAAATTTTCGAATATCAGTTTTCAACTGATATCCCCTGAGTCCAAATAACCTAGTCCCGTAAAATGGTCTGTGTGTGTGTGTGTGTGTTAACAGTCTAGATCAAAAACGAAAAGTCGTACAATACTTAAATTGCGTATTTAAGGTTTTTATATAGTTCTGATGCGGCAGTGACTTTTTCGTTAAAATTGGCTAACCAGAAGTGCTAATTTATATCAAATTGACTCTAACGATTTTGATTAAACTCATTGTACCATTGTATAATTAAGTGGTCTTTAATATCATTTAGGTCTTATCCCCATTGATGTCACTTTACAGAGCTTAAATGCCCAATGTTCATATACGTCTTCCTCTAAAGTACCTTTAATATGAATTATTTAAAAAAATCAATTATCTTTTATTCACACTAACTATAAAAATGGCTAAATATGAAGTTTGAAAGAATATTTGCGAAATGGAAACTGGCGAAAAAAAGGAACAATGCTTATCCATGTCGAAAATGAATCTCCGGAAATAATAGTCAGAAGGTCTATGTATAATATATCGTTGGAAAGCTGAGAATTTTAGAAAAAATAATATAAAATACATTTAGTTGTAGAAGATAACGGAGAGTGGCAAAAATAAAACTTTTTGAAAACTAATAATATTTAACATAAATTACATGTTTTCAAGGAAATTAAATGAATTTTACTAACTAAATGTAACCTTTTAAAATATTTTGAAGTATAAAAAAAAATAATTAAAATGCACATAATCAAGGCAATGGCATTGTTTAAAAAACTATTTCATTGTACTTGTGAGAAAGAATTAAATATAAAATAATTTCATGGATGTATAAAGCATATGTTTATAACCTTAAATTCATTTACTGTAGTTCAATAATTCTAGATCTGATATTATATTTAAATAATTAGGTATCAACGTTTATTTCGAAATATTCTCATGTAACTTTTAAGAAAATTAAATTAGTGAATAATTTGATGAATTTTCCCTTTGTGATATTTCAACAGTACCCACTTATATTTCATTTTAGTTGTCTGAAAGAAGTGAAATATAAAAATATTTCATAGATACGTTTATAACTTTTATAGAAGCTGGCGAAAAAAGGAAAATTCTTATCCAGGTCGAAATTGAATCTCAGGAAATAATAGTCAGAAGGTATACGTATAATATATTGTTGGAAAGCTGAGAATTTTAGAAAAAATAATATAAAATAAATTTAGTTGTAGAAGATAACGGAGAGTGGCAAAAATAAAACTTTTTGAAAACTAATAATATTTAACATAAATTACATGTTTTCAAGTCTATTGACCGCCAGAAACTGTATAATATTCTAATCGAGCAGGGGATTCCAAAAAAACTAGTAAATCTAGTCAGGATGTGCTTGACGGAGACACTCAATAAAGTTAGAATCGGTAATAATTTGTCCGAAAAATTTGAGGTTAGTTTGGGCTTAAAACAGGGGGATTCTCTTTCGCCTGTCCTGTTCAATTTGGCATTAGAACATGCCATTAGGGAAGTAATGCGAACCGAGAAAGGGTTGGATCTGGGCGGAACAACATCCGTGCTGGGCTATGCTGATGATCTGGTACTGTTAAGCGAAGACGTTGAAACTATAAAACTAAATACGACAACGTTAATGAAAGCCGGTAAAGAACTAGGACTCGAAATAAACGTGGATAAAACAAAATATATGGTTAGCTGCAAAAATGGCGATACTACTGGTGATATCGATATAGATGGTAATATGTTTGAACAGGTAGATAAATTTAGGTATCTAGGTTCTACGATAACTAGAAAAAACGAAATTGAAGAAGAGATTAAGGTTAGACTGAAGGCGGGGAATGCTTGTTATTTTTCTGTGACAAAACTACTTAGTTCGCGCCTCTTGTCCCGAAACTTAAAAATTAGAATCTATAAAACAATTATCTTGCCTACAGTTCTTTATGGATGCGAAACTTGGCCGGTTACGTTAAGGGATGAGCAGCGTCTTAAGGTTTTTGAAAATAAAGTATTGCGTAGAATATTCGGACCGAAGAAGGATGAGTTAACCGGAGAGTTCAGACGGTTACACAACGCCGAATTGCATGAGCTGTATCCGGATAATATAATTGAGATAATTTCATCGAGGCGAATCAAATGGGCTTGTAAAGTTGTTGGTCTTAGTAACGAGAGAATTCCTAAAAGGTTAATATTTGCTGTGCCGAATGGTAAGCGTCCGAGGGGTAGACCGAAGCGAAGGTGGGAAGATTGCATTAAGGCCGATCTGAAGGGACTGGGTTTGGACGGCGAACGGTGGAGGGAGGTGTGTAACAAGCGATTGGTGGTGTCGGCATCGAACCTTCGGGTTCGCTAAGCCTTATTATTATTATTATTATTACATGTTTTCAAGAAAATTAAATTAATTTTACTATATAAATGTAACCTTTTAAAATATTTTGAAGTATAAAAAAAAATAATTAAAATGCACATAATCAAGGCAATGGCATTGATTAAAAACTATTTCATTGTTCTTGTGTGAAAGAGGAAGTAAAATATAAAATCATTTCATGGATATGTTTATAATCTTAAATACATTTACTGTGGTTTAATAATTCTATATCTGATATTATATTTAAATAATTAGGTATCAACGTCCATTTTATTCCTAAATATTTTTAAGTTTTTATTCCTAAAAACTTTTTAGAAAATTAAATTAGTGAATAATTTAATGAATCTTCCATTTGTGATATTCCAACAGTACCCATTACTATTTCATTGTAGTTATGTGAAAGAAGTGAAATATAGAAATATTTCATAAATGCGTTTATAACTTTTATAGAAACTAGCCAAAAAAAAAGGAAAAATGCTTATCCAGGTCGAAAATGAATCTCCTGAATTACTAGTCAGAAGGTATACGTATAATATATCGTTGGAAAGCTGAGAATTTTAGAAAAAAAAATAATATAAAATAAATTAAGTTGTAGATGACGAAAAAAATATAAATAATAATTTCTGAAAAAATAACATTATTTAACGTAAATCACACGTTTTCAATGAAATTAAATGAATTTTTTCTACTAAATGTAAACTTTTAAATTTTTTTCTAAGTAAAAACAAAGGATTTAAAATCCATCTAATCATGCCAATGCCATTGTTTAAAATATTATTTAATTGTTCTTGTGTGCAAGAGGAAGTAAAATATAAAATCATTTTATTGATATGTTTATAACTTTAAATACATTGTGGTTTATTATCTCTAGATTTGATATTATATTTAAATAGTTAGGTATATATTGGCCGTTTATTCCAAAAAATCATCAAGTAATCTTTTAGAAAATTAAATTAGTGAATAATTTGATAAATTTTCCCTTTGTGATATTTCAACAGTACCCA